TGCCCCAGGCCCCGCGGCCGGCAAGCACTCTGCCCCTGCAAAGCCGCCGAGTCGACAAGTTGGAAGAAGCCCGGCTTGTCTCCCTCACCACCTCTCTCTCTGTCCACCCAATCCCAGAGATCGATCAACTCTCCTTCCCAAGTATGTGGACCCTATCCGTGTATCAACAGACACTGGCAAGGCCTCTCGATTTCTCATTACACCGGGCCTTGAACATCCTGTTGTCTTGTCTTAGGTTCTAGAACATTTCCACCACCACTTGCATGACTCCCATTTGCCCATTAGATATCCGCTTCGGCCTCGATTCTGCAGGGAAACTTCCCTCAGCACCTGGACCAGAATACACTCGGCTTCCTGGGAGGTGTTCGCCATCTATCTGCTTCCGCTCCCCAAACCAAACAGTGACGTGCCGGTTGGGGTCACCCCTCGGACACAGCCAAGTGCCTTGCACATGACAGGTGTCGGGACTCCTCTCCTAGAGTCCTCACATCAGTTGCCCCAAGATCCCCGTTAATGTTCTCCTCCAGGATGAACTGACTGCTATCTTTGGTTTGGGGTGTCTTCTGTAGGAAGTAGGAGGGATATTTCTCCTGGTCTTAATCCAACCAGTAAAGGAGAGTGCAGCCTCGCTCCTCGTACCCGGCCGCTCCTGGTCACCCTCTGCTAGGGCCAACGAGACAGGACTCGCAGGGGCAGGGCCGAGCCGGGGAGAAAAGCCGGTTGGTAATCATGCACACGGGAAGGCCTCAAGCTTGAATCTTCGCAGCCCCTACACGATGGGCGGGGGACACCTCCGGAAAAGCTCTCAGCTCCGGGAAGGAGGGGACCAGTCTTGCCAGCGTCCACACCCCACACGTGGAGGAAGCCCTCGGAGAGAGTCGGACTCGGGTCAGAGGGCAGTGGGAGGCAGATACATGCCGGGTAAGCACTCTGCAAACAGCAAAGCACCAGGCAAGTCTGGGATCGGCGAGGGAGGCCAGCCCTGCCCACGCTGCCCCCAGAAGGGTGAGGTCGGAGCTGCACCCCTGCAGGCCAGGCCCCAAGGGGCAGCCACGTGCAAACAGGGCAGGCCCAAGACCGAGAGCTGTCAAGAGGTTTGCTTTACAGGTAGACGGCCGTCTGTTACCTGAATCTTAGCTGGGGGTGGGATGGGGTGGGGGGTTTCTGCTGCTCCCCAAAGAGTCGTCTCTACCTCAGGTGAACACTTAGACCCCATTATCAGATCTATTGTCTTCTTCTTTATCCAAAGCCACAGGCCCGTGTAGTGCACGTCCCTGTGAGGGAACGCCAGTCATGCATATTCTAAAGCTAATGAACTGGCTTTTTGCCGTAAGAAAATGTTGTCCTTAGGCTTGTTCTAAGGAAGGGAATGAAAAGGGAATCATGTTGAGGGACTCCAAGATGTGGAGGTAGACCGTCTCCTACCATATCAACAAAATAAGTTGAAAATAAAAACAGAAAACCAGCAGTAGCTAGCCCCTCACGCTTTCAAAATGTGGGTTATAGCCAGCTAAGTTCTAAAAGCTTCCCCACTGTTATCAGTTTATGAACCCAGGAACCGATCGTCTACTTCTCCTGTTTTCTCCCTAACTCTGAAGGCTAACCACTCAACACGTCTGCCTCGGGGTGGCGACAGGGACGAGCGGAGAGGGGCCGCTGGACGCAAGAAGACCAGGTCTAACCACACTGCCTTTCCACAGTTACTCCTCCAGCCTCCTTGAAGCTGTAGAGGAAAATTCTACTTGAAAACCGTCCTTTATGAGACATTTAAATATCACACGTTATCTCAAAGCAAACTACAAAACATACAACCTCAGAATGGTAAAATAGATGGAAGTAGCAGCAAAACGAAGTACTGAAGGAAAAGTTACAACCCAGTGGCAGACTCCAGGAATAAAAGTAAACTGGAAAATAATCCTGTTGAATCATCCACAGAAAACACTACTCACCTGAGTTCCCGGGGTGGCTGCTATATTCACATATAGAAAAAGTACGTTGATTCGTGCTGCAGAGGCAAGCTCTGTATTCAGTTACAGATTCTATTTTTCGAGTGCTTCCCATGCCGAGCTATGATCCTTACGTTCATTACTAGCTCACTGAAGCCTATGTAGAATCCCATACAGTGGATACTACAGTTACTCCCACTCTACTGAAGAGGAAAGGGAGGCTCGGAGAGGTAAAGCGACTTGCCCAGGAGAAGAGCAAGGACGGGACCCGATTCTGAGCGGACAACCACGGGGCTTCCCAAACGTCTGCTTGCTCAGACCAGGGGGCCAGTGGCCCGGAGAACTCCTGCGCTTCACAAAGACCAAGTGGGGCCAAGGCGTGAAGGACGACGTCCCCGGCCCGCTGTTGGGACACTTAACACGTGTCATTCTCACGGGACCTCCGAGGGCTGCGGAGAGGTCACATCAACCCAGTTCCAAAAGGGAAGATGCCAGAAAGACACAAATTGTTAAAGTGTGAGACCCTTACATCTGACCATTTCTGACTCTGTTGGAGGCTTGTCTGTGACATTTTATAATGCAATGTAAGTGATGAGTCTTAGTTGCTCGTTTATATATATTTTATACATCTATATGTATAAAAGCTTCAATAATAAATCTACACTTTAAAATCTCTTTACTACAGACTTCTGTCAGATGAGCCGCAGGCACCTCCTCGCCCTGAGAGGCGCCTGGCTATACAGGTGCAGGATCACCCGGAAAGCTTCCCCCAAACCACAGCTGCCCAGGCCCCACCCCCACCTCCTCCAGCCGTCACCAGCAACTCTGCCATGATTTGTCCTCCGCGCTTAAAAAAAAAAAAAAATGCGTATTAGCCAAGAAGACCCCCACTCTGGTCCTCCGCTCCTCCAGAAGCCGGGGGAGCTGAACCTGACCGCGGCGGCGGGGGGGGGGGGGGGGGGGGGGGGCGGCGAGGCTCAGGCCCTGCCCGTGGAGGGTGGGGAACTCCCGACACGAAATTCACACTCCTGAATCCCCACCCCTCCGACTTCTCAGGAAGAGGACATCATCTCAAGGTGGGAAACCACGAACAACAAACCGCCTTCAGGTCAGGAGACCACTAGGTGTGCAGTCACAGGTTTCCGCCAGCCGAAAACTTTCCCACGTCCGAAATGGCCGAAGACCCCCCGCCCCCCCACCCCCCGGGAGTCCTGGTGTTCGCTGACCCGGGAAATCTGAAGAGGAGTTTCGCTCTCACAAAAAAGGCCGTTACCGTGCTACCACGGGTCTTTTTGCAAACACGAGCGGCACAATGCAAACTTCCGGAAAGCGAGGGATACTCGCCTCTGGTTATCCCGCGTGTGCTGAAATCTGAACGTTTTAGTTGGCGACGTAGCTTTCTGTCTTTGGACAAGATTTAGGGTAAGAAAGTGGAAACAAATTAATGACGATAAATACCTGGTGCTCACCGAAAGTCGTGCAAGAGCACCCTGGTGCTCACCGCTCACTGGGAGCAACCGAAACTCGGGCGGGACACAGGCTGCGCGCCCACCAGCGAGAAAGACACACACACAAACCGACGGTCCACTTACCTTGCTCAAAGGAGTCTGCACAAAAAATATCTAGTGCTTGAAACACAGGGACATGTAAAACTACGAGGTCAGGTGACCCCCAGGGGGACGAATGTCGGACACAGGGTACTGCTATGCATTTTGAGGGACGACAAAGAAAATAAGCTATTTTCTTCGGGTCTCTTTTCTTGTTCCTTGTCCTAAAAATTACTTACTGTTATGTTTTCACCCTAGGAAATGAAGTCTAGCGAAGGAGATCCAAGATTACGAAAATGAGAGCTTCTGCTCTGCTCTGACACCAAGGGCTTCTCAATGCGGGGGCCACCTGCTGTCCCTGGGAGGGTTCTAAGACATCTGAAGACCATCTCAGGATACCAGAATGGGCCCTGCCCGCCCGCCCTGCCCAAGCCTTAATCTTAAAATTTCAAACTGTCTTCACATATGGCACTAAAAACCAACCTCTGGTATCTGGAACAAACCATCTGACCTATCAGTTCTGGTCACCACTACAGAACTGGACATAAAAACGAGTACTGAGCTTGTATTCTGAGAGCAAAGTAAAGGCCAAAAGGAAACTGGAGAAATGCCCTGGAAAAAATTTGGCATTTGCTATCCTGTCTTTGTATTTTGTTTATGTATTTTTTATCATATGACTTACTGCAACAGTCAGTTTCACAACACAGGAGCTGAGGAGGAGGGTACAGGGACAAATGCAACAGGCATTTCGTGGGTCTTCTAGAATTACCGCAGCCTTAAGGATTTTTACAGGTCTGCTTAGGATTTTTGGAGTCTGATCCCATCTAAAACGTGCCACTTACCGAAGTTAAACAAAATGCTCAGATCCTAAGAAAAAAACTAAAGCCAGGGTTTTTTTTTTTTTCTTTCTGATGAAGTCTAACTTTGTGCGGCCAACTTGCCTTTTATGGAATCACATTTAACTTTTTAAGTTTTCTGCCTTCCTGAAAGCCACCCTCATATATACTTACATATTAATTTGTAAAAGGAAAAGACTTTAGGTTACACGTTAACTCACTGTGGCAGGAGTTCCAGACTCCACACAACAAAGTCCCTGATTCGCCCCCCTACGTGGATCTGGGGAAGGAGGAACGAGATGACGTGTATTTCCTCTTGTTTCCCAGAAGGTCCAACCCTATTAAAAGGAAAACCACTGAGCCCTCACATCCATTCTAAAAACTGCAAGCTATTAGCACTCAGAATAGGAGAGAAACTGAATAATAGTAATCACTCATATAAAGAAATGATTTTGAAAATCAAAATGATCAAAACCAAAACCTCCAATTTTCACTTTCCGGGATTTGGAAGCCTAGGTCCACGCCACTACCATTTCTTTCTTACACATTTGACCAAACTTATACTCAGTATACCTACCAGACCCATTACCTGGACCAGGTTAATTGCATAGGAAGATTTTTTTTTTACTATGTTTACATCTTTCTTAATTTTAAAAAAGCATAGTAAAGAGTCTGAGGACAAATTATTCAACTGTTTATCATACATAAGACCGCATGACTATGATACAAAGGGGGGTTCTTTTTCATTTAACGTTACAATATACACAGCAAGTCCGGACCAGATCTTACAATCTGCACACAGGTATTTAACCTTTTCCATGCTGTTTATGTTTTACAATGCACAGAAGTCCTGTAACCAAACCGTGTAGTAAAGCACACAAAACTGGACTGTAACATAACACAGTATGCAGAAGCATTGGATTTTATGATTTCCTTTATGTAAATAGCGGTTTAAAAACTGCTTTCGTTTTTGGTGCTTGCTAAGATGTGGCAACCAGCACAGAAAAAAATGACCTGACCCATATGATATCTTCCCCTTATAGTCCTAAACAGCAGTAACTACTGATTCCTTTTGATATTGCTATACTCAAGATGATATCCTTTTATTCACTGTAAACTTTTATGAACTACCAAGTTCAAAAATCATCCACAGGCTTGACATTTAATTACAAAATAAATATGGATTTCCTGATTAACAACAAAAAAATTTTGTGGATTATAAAAACGGTATTTCCAAGTTTCCATTCACATTCACATAGTTTTAAGCCTTTCTTTTTGTCACTGTTTACATATAAAAACCTGCTTTTTGTTCAGAAAAAATTGACCTAGTCAGCCACATGGAATTGACCAATAAAAAGTAATGTGGTGTTCTGCTGAGTTGTTTTGAACAGGGTTATCGGCAGAGGTAGATTACTGCTTCTTTCCTAGGCTTCTTTTGATCCTGGACAGATAAATTACTTATCTTCATTCTCCCAATTCAACCGCTCAAAAGTATAACACCCTAAAATTGGTCAATTTAAAATGGGAACACAAATTTAGCAACTGCCAGACTGTGTTACATTAAGGCAGCATAATCTCAAAACTAGGCACCTGTTAAACACCAGCCTGTTCACTTCAGGTCACGCATGAGAGTTTTGCTTTACTCGTGCTCATATTTTGGACCTGTTGGTGCAATCAAGGTCTTGCTTTCAAGTTTACAAGTAGGTTAATCAGGAATACAAGAATCGACTGCTGGTTCCATAGCTTCTGGATCCAGTGTCCCTTTACCTTCAGAAGCCTGAACACATTTAGAATGTAACAGATGCTGTCATCTTGAATTAGATGTCAATCGATTATGTTCAGAACACAGATTGCTGTAGATGTATTGGCTATGGATTCAACAACAGTTCCAGTTTTGTTTAAGCAATAGTACAGCCATAATTTTCAACTGACATTTAAAAATGGTCTAGTTACACCTTGTGTCAAAGTGCAGGACTGCTACATTATTGGTTACAGACATCTATGTGCTATAAAAACAGCTTTGGTACAATAAATTATCAAAAAAGAAAATAAATTTTTGTAAAATTCACAGCATAATTGTGAGGCAAAAAAGCAGTCACATAAAATTCTGCATTTTTTAAAAATGTTCAGGATGAACAGAAGACATCTTTGTGCAGAAGAAATGGTGGAGATACCACGTGCCGAGAAAAAAAGCAAAAACGAAACAAAAAAAAACAAAAACAAAAAAAAAAAAACAAAAAAAGTAAAAAGCAGGAAGGGACACAGCTGTAGCTATTTCCATCAAAGCAAACCACTACTTCTGTGACCTTCAACCAATAAGGAAGTCAACTTTATGACACACGCAAAGTGACCTTGCAATACCTTACAATTAGTGGGTCACAAAAGTCTATTTTAAAAGAAAGGCCTCTTGAATTACCCATTCTCTGTGTTTTCAGCATTAAGGACTGTCTGCAAAAGCATGTCCAAAAGTGATTGCATCTGAAATGGTAGGCTCTTCTAATTTCGAGTCCAAATCCATAAGGCCAAAGGTTATCCCAAAGACCACCACTCAGACCTCCCCAGGACTGGCCACGACTGACCCGTTGATTGCTTCTCAGTGCACCTCGGTTAGGAGACCAGTCACGTTCCATTACTATCTACCGTGGCCTCTCCAACAGGAGACCCACGGGATCCCATGTAATTGCTGCTTTGCTCCTCAGTAGGTTCAGACAGGAGAGTTCTGATCCCCGCCACTTAGCATGCTCACTGTGCCTTACAAACAAACTCCAAAACAACCGTCCCTTCCATACAGCTGAAGGTGATGTTTGTGTCAGCTGGAGGTCCCTCTTCCTTACAGTACTGCGTTTCCGTGCCCAAGTGTGTTTAGAGGACTTAAAAACCCAAATTTCCCCCCCCCCCCCCAAAACAAAACAAACGAGGGGGGGGGGAGGGGGGTAAAGGGAGGAAAAAGGAAAAAACAAAAAGGAAAAAAAACACCCTCGTGGGGCCCTTTATGCAAATTATGTGCAGTGCCTTTTTATTTTAAAATTAGTTGGCAAATGACCAAGACCAACATCTGAACATTAACTTCTGTGGAACAGAAAAGACAAAAAAACCCACTACGGCTGGGGTGTGGCAAGTTAAAATGGGGGAGGCGAAAAGAGGACACCTCTGCGCTCTCCGTGACGACGGGTTTGTGGACATGGCTCTTTGAAAAACTTCATTGTCCCTTTGCAATCTTTTCAAGTTAAAAAAAAAAAAAAAAAAGAAAAAGAAAAAAAAGTCAGCTTTGCCCTCTTGTAGCGGTTCAGTGTGTTAATCTCCTTCTGATGCAAGCAGCTTTGCACTTTGTTTTTTGGAAAAAAACACCACTTCTATAAAAACACACAAGAAACAAACTCAAGTTTCAATTTAGTCACGAGCTAGCTACAGAACTCTGTTGCACACAAACTCCTGTCATGGGGGACTCTTCTCTGTCAGCTCCTTGCCTCATCGTCAGATGTCCCTCAGTCATGTAATGTGTAGAACCTGTATTAGCAGAAAATTGGTACGCTGAATGTCCAGCTAGGCCAGTCTCTTGGCGGGGATTGGAGTAGACGGTCAAATTAACGTCCATAGCTCCATTCTGTCCAAAGTCCAAGGTGTTAGCAGCCACCGGGCGATTCTGGTAGGCCTGGTTGCCTTGATTACCGGTAGAGGAGGAGGACGTAGAGGAAGAAGTAGTTGAGGAAGACAGGGATGTCATGGAGTGGTGACTATGGCCAACCTCCATAGAATCCTGGGTAGAGGAGCTATTCGTTGGAGAATTGTAGACCCTTGGCCTGGTCCGGTTACCCAAGGCTTGTTGTCCGTGGTGGTGGTGGTGGTGGTGGTGGTGGTGATGGTGATGGGAACTATTTCCATGGTGATGATGCAATGCATTCTGTTGAGGGGCTACATGAAAGGTTGTTTCTTGAACGGGATGAGTTTCAACAGTAACCTGTGTAGGAGCTTCAGTGCCTGACCAACCAAGGGGAGCAGGAAATTGTTGACGCACCTGTAAGAAGATTTTCGAAGCATTTATTCAGAGTACTGTTTCCAAGCTTTACTTCATCTTCAATCGAAAGCTAGGACACCAGCATTTATGTTAATTAGAGAGAGGGGATTTTTGAAACTTTTAATGTGTCAGTTCTAGAACACAAAATCCCGGGCCGCCTGGGTGGCTCAGTAGGTTGAGCATCCGACTCTGGCTCAGGTCATGATCTCACCATTCGTGAGTTCGAGCCCCGCCTCGGGCTCTGTGCTGACAGCTCGGAGCCTGGAGCCTGCTTGGGATTCTGGGTCTCCCCCCTTCTCTCTGCCCCTTCCCCGCTCACACTCTGTCTGTCTGTGTCTCTCTCTCTCTCAAAATTAAACATTAAAAACAAAAAAATTAGAACACAAAATTCCAAGTTATGTTTGAGTGAACCAGTATTTTACTGTGAAAGCTGCAATTTTTAGCAAGCTATATCCATAAACAGGCTCATGTATTTCACTGGCCACTTTCTTTCCTGGGATGCATTGTTTATGCCAGGGATCAGCAAACTTTTTCTGGAAAGGATCAGATAATAAACATTCTTGACGGGTTCGAAATGAATTCCTGGCTTTCCCGTAAAGCCCCTCTTCTCTCCATCTTTCCCGTTTCAGTAAGAGCACTCTTTTCATCAGCGGCTCAGTAACTCCTGCATCCACACCATCAGCAAGTACCATGGAGCGTGCCTTCGAAACGGCTCCAGCCTGGCTGCTTCCCTGGTCTCCACCACCATCCCTTCTCCCAGGCTCCTACCGTCCACCGCTCACCCACACTGCACAACCGCCTCCTAAATCAGCTCCCAGCTTCCATCCTTCTGCCTTTTTTCCAATCCATTCTTCATAACAAGAAAAATCTTCTCAAAACACAAATCCAATCACTTTCCTATTTAAATTCAAATCCTTTAATGATTTCTCCGTGCACTTATTAGAAAAACAAAATAATGGAAAATTCACAGGTGGTCTGCCTCGGGGGCCACCGTTCGTCTCGCCAACCTTGTCCTCCAGCCATCCTTCCTCTTGCTACCTGGGCTCCAACACCGGGTCCTCCTCCTATTCCTCCACCCGGTAGTCGTATCTTTCCAACGTCTCAGGGCATCTGTGCCTACTGTTCCTTCCTGCCTAAAATGCTCTGACTTCTAATTTCTGCTCGGGTGCTTCCTTCCCATTTCGGTTCGAGTCTTCTCTGACCACTCTGGCTGACACTGCCTCAACTCCTGTGGCAGCAGCTACCAGCTGTCCACGTGGCGGCACTACACTTCCCAGCCTCCCCCGTCCTCAGGTATGGCCACGGGACTGAGTTCTAGTCCGTGCAACACGAATGAACGTTTTGATGTTTTTATGTCATGGCCGGACCTGGCCCACCAACACCTCCCACATCCCGCCTGGTGGATGCCAGCAGACAGCCAGGCCCTAAGGGCCGGAGTTATTCGCCCAGGACACAGGAGACAGCCATGCCACTGACCTGAAAGCCCTCCCGGGACCGCTACCCAAAAAAGAGACTTCATACTCCCTTTGGCTACCATATTTTGTGGGGGCTATTATCAGCCTGGCTTACTCAAATTCTCATGCATCCCACCCAACAAATCGCCATCCTAGATCACATCCTGATACCTTTTATCAGCAGTACTTGCAATTTCTATTAATTTGACTCATTTTGTTTATCTACTCTGTCCTTATGAGCTGGAAAATATGTCTTTTACCAGGAGCTGACATAAAGCGTTTCTTTCTCAGCGGAAGTGGTCTGGAGAGTCAAACTTTAAGACACACCACTGAAAACAATCCAGTAGAAAAAGAGGCAGAAAGTTCTCAGAAAATACTGACGACTCTTAAACTACAACACTACTCAAATTCATGTATAAATAGAAAATAAGCGGGGTTGCCTGGGTGGCTCAATTGGTTAGACATCGGATTCTTGATTTCGGCTCAGGTCATGATCTCACGGTTTGTGGGATTGAGCCCCGCATCGGGCTCTGCACTGACGGTGTGGAGCCTGCTTGGTATTCTCATTTTCTCACTCTCTCTCTCTCTCTCTCTCTCTCTCCTCTCTGTCTCTTCCATAAAAAGTAAATAAACTTAAAAAAAATTTTTTTTAAAGAAAAAAGAAAAACAAATAAGCAAAATAAAAATATCTTCTGTCCAATACCATTTTTCATTTCAGACTGATCAAAGGTGATCACCCCCCCCTCCCTGATTGTTTCTCCAAAGTCTTGCTGGTGGAAGGCTAAACTGGCAAAACTAAATGGAGAGCAATTGACAGCAATTATAAAATTTACAGATCACATTGCTCTCTGACCCGCGATTTCACATTTAGGGGTTCCTATCACAGGTATACTTAATGTGTATGAGTGATAGGTCTGTGGCATTCTACCATCATCTGTAATAGTAAAAAAGACTGGAAATTAACAGGGGAAATGACTTATGGAATATCGAAACACGGGAGTATCATGTGAAGAAGAAGGAAGAAAAAGTTCTCCAGGTACTGATGTAGAAAGAGCTCCAAATATGTATTAAAAATGCACATAAAACATATAACGACCCCCCCAAAAAACAAGCATAAAAACAAACTCAAAACATCAACTTGTGCATGGCACGCTATCGTTTGTGTACAAAGATTAGGAATCTATATCTGTATGTGGATATGCATACAGTATCTCAAAAAGGATACAAAAACCAATTGCGACATTTAAGTGAAGGTCTGAAGTGTAAGTGGCAGTGACCAAAGCCGAGAGAGGGGAAAAGTGTTCCAGGCCGAGCACAGAACATGTGAGAAACAAGAAAGAACGTGGCATATTCCAAAAAAATGACAAAAATCCAGTAAGACCAGAGCAAATAAAGAGGAGAAAGAATGCCCTGAAAAGGACCAGACCGTGGCAATCACTGAGACCTTCGCAGGAAGTCTAAATTCCCTTTTAAGTACAAAGGAAAAGCCAAACACTGGTTTAAAGTAGGGAAAAGCCGCATCAGACTGCTTTACTGAATGTTCATGTGCCTGCAGAGAAGAAAATGGCATTGACTGCTGAATGGAGTTAGATGCTGGAAGACCAGGTTAGAACATTCTTTATAGTAAGGCGGGCTGGAGACGGTTGTAGCAATGGGATGAAGTGAAGAAAATAAAAGCACATTTAGGATACTCAGAATTCACACAATTTACTACTTGATTCAACTGTGGGATGAGGGAAAAGACGAGTCAAGGATCAGCTCCCCAACCTAACCGCCAGGTGTAAGGCTTGAACAAATGGGTGAATCTAGGGCCATCTGTACGAGGAACACAAAAGAGAAACAGAGGCCCAGGGCTCAGGAGCGAGGTCCAGGTCAGAAATGAAGCTGGAGGAGGGACCTGTGCCAAGACGGTACTGAGGCATCAGACAGGGTGGGCGAGGTCAACCGGCAAGTGGGCAAGCCTTGGGAACATCCGTGTCTACAGGGTGGGCAGAAGAGAATCCAGAAAAAGAGACAGGGAAGGAAAGGCCAGACAAGTGAGGGAAACTCAGGGGACATCCTGTCAAGGGAAAAAGAGGGAAAGTGCTTCAAAGGGCAGGGAGGAGCCAAAATTGTCCACGTGGGTGAGGAACAAAAAAAGACAAGCCTCTGAATGCCCGGCACCGGCCTCCTCAGTGGCGGCCGCAGGTGACACTTGCAGCAACGGTGTCCCCCACCGGAGCAGACCGAGGAACTCTTCACGGGCCCAACACAGCCACCACAGGCTAGCACGACGTAGGGCCAAACAGACACCAGACAGACATGGGCCAGGAGGAGGGCTGGCTCCAGCTGGGAGAGACCTGGGGGATCAGATGCTGACAGAAGAGAATCAAGCAGACCCAGGAGCCAGAGGCTGAGCAAGAGGTCAGTTTCTAAAAAGAGTAGAAGGGGCATTGGAAACAGTGCCTACAGAGAACGGGGGAGACACGAGGTGATGGTGCCTACAGAGAACGGGAGAGACACGAGGAATGGCAAGCCCGCCCAGAAGCTGGGCACTAGGAACTGGCAACGACACCGACCATGCCAGCTTGCTGCTTGTGGTCTTCTCCCGCAGCGCCCAGCAGCCCCAGCCACGAGAATGGGGCGTGATATTCAGCAACCTGTCCTGACTTCGCGTTTACCAAATGATACGCCGGCCCCTCGTCACAAAGCACCGTGACACAGAGCCCAGTGTGAGTTAGTATTTTACAAAGAGTATTTCATAAATATTTTTACTACCAACATCTGCTTCATCCCATTAAAAATACCCGATTACAGCCTCTTCTTTAACACATTTCAAAAACAAACGAGGGGGGCCTGCATGGCTGTCGGTTGAGTGCCCAACTTCAGTTCAGGTCACGATCTCACCGTCCGTGAGTTCGAGCCCCGTGTCGGGCTCTATGCTGACAGCTCGGAGCCTGGAGCCTGCTTCAGTGTCCTGTGTCTCCCTCGCTCTCTGCCCCTCCCCGCCTCAGTCTCTGTCTCTCAAAAGTAAATAGATATTAAAAACAAAAGCAAAAGCAAAAAAAAAAACCCCAAATAACCCCAAAACAACATGGAGGTGAGAGACCACAAACTGATCCGGAATCAAGGACCATTAGCGACCAAAGATCACAGGAAGCGGTCGGAGCACAGTAACGAAGAGCACAAGCCAGGGAAAGTTACTGAACCCATCAAGGGTCAGTTCCCAAAGTTAAAAGGGAAACTCGAACAGTGTTAAGGCTCCAAGTGCTACTGTCGTAAATGAGATAAACACAGCGAATAACAACTGGAACAGTGGCTGGTATGCACCCAAGAAATGTTAGCTGCTTCTACATAACGAGGGAGAAAACTGCAAAGACGTGCTTCCTTAGTTACGGACAGGGCACAATTCCCTACACACGTGGAAGCTACTGAGACCCCGTGGGGTAAACGACACGACCATTGGAAATGCGCTTGGCGCCCACCGCGGTCCCGGCTGGCTGCTGCGGGGCCGGGCCTCCACGGCGGGGAGCTCACCTGGGGACTGTGAGTCTCACAGTCCATGGCCTGGACGGCAGCTGTGAAGTGCCCGCCGCTGTGCCGGTGCTGGTGCGTCGGGTCTGACCTGGCTCTCCCACTGTTGCTCGTCCCCGACGATCCACCTTCGGGATCACAACACAGTACTTGTAAGTCTGAAGTTAACTTTGCTCAAGTATGTGTTCCAACACTCACTTAACACCGAAGGTACGGCATGCACAAAAAGCTGTATGAACCTCAAAGCGTATCAGGAAGTCATCCAATTCTCTTAAGTTCTTTCACACCGACCAGTGAACTAATACACGACAGTCTGGTTTGGGTTAAGTTAGGGGAAAGTTCAAGCACGTGAACAAAGTATTTCTACTTAAGAAACCAAAGGAAAACTTTGGCTAAGAGGGGCGCCTGTGGGGCTCAGTCGGTTGAGCGCCCAACTTCGGCTCGGGTCATGATCTCGCAGTCTGTGGGTTCGAGCCCCATGTCGGGCTCTGTGCGGACAGCTCAGAGCCTGGAGCCCGCTTCAGATTCTGTCTCCCTTTCTCTCTGCCCCTCCCCTGCTCATGCTCTGTCTCAAAAATAAATACAAACATTAAAAAAAAAACACATTAAAAAAAAAAAAAGAAAGAAAGAAAGGGTTTCGTTTCCAACTGCCAAGCAGAATTTATCACGGGTAATTAAGTATCAGAGTTTGGGGACAGGTGAAATGTTTTACTAACTACAAAGGGTAGATTTAGGTAAAACAATTCCTCCCTATCCCCACAACCAATTCTTCAAAGACTTTACAGTAACCCCCACCTTGGAACAAAAATAAGAAATGCTTCCAGGCCTCCCCGAGTATCAGAAGGACCGACCTGAGCTGGAGGACGTGCTGGAGGTGGTTCCGGAGGACTGTGACTGCTCCATCGCGGGACTCGTGGACACGCTGTTACTTGTGTTTGTACCTTCGTCAGCTGTCTTCTTGAAAAAACTGTGCTGCAGGGCATAGTAAGGTTGAATTCGAGTTTTGGGGTCATAATCAAGCATCCTTAAAATGAGGTCTTTGAACTTCAAGTAGTCAGCCACGGTATGACCCGATTCCCCAGCACGACGCCCACCAGGTCCTCCTGTTTCTACTCCGAGAATATTATGAAGTTTACGGGTTCCTGGTGGTTTATACTCCTGAAGAGAAGAAAGATTAAAAAAAAAAAAAAGCTTTCTCTAAATATGATGGAGTATGTAAAAGCCTGCATAACTTCAAATATGCTTAAATATGTTATATATTGAAACCTTTATTAAAAAGAACGCTTTATACTCAGATTCTCTGGATTTTCACACATTACTATTCCAAATGCGCTTGTTGTTGGAGAAATTCAAAATAATTTCAAGACCAAAAATGACTATAAAGACCATGTAGCCCAGGGGTCAGCAAACAAAGGCCTAGCCTGGGCTGTTTTTCTATAGCTTCAGCTATGAATGGGTTTTATATTTTTAAAGGTTGTAAAAACAAACACACACAACCACATAATATGCAATAGAAGCCCACAAAAGCCTTAAGCTTTTACCTTCTGGTGCGACCGCTGCTCCGGCCCAGTGGTCTGAATCGCTTTTCTGCCTGATACACGTGACCTTGGATGCACTTCCTTTCCTAACAGTGGCTCTCCAAAGCTGTGGTAATCACTCCAAGTGAAGATTCACTGGTTTAACCCTACACGCTCGGATTTACCGTTCTCATTTCGTTTATTTTTTTTTTTTAATTTTTTTTAACGTTTTATTTATTTTTGAGACAGAGAGAGATAGAGCATGAACGGGGGAGGGGCAGAGAGAGAGGGAGACACAGAATCGGAAACAGGCTCCAGGCTCCGAGCCATCAGCCCAGAGCCCGACGCGGGGCTCGAACTCACGGACCGCGAGATCGTGACCTGAGCTGAAGTCGGACACCCAACCGACTGAGCCACCCAGGCGCCCCTCGTTTATTTTTTTAAGTAATCTCTACACCCAGTGTGGGGCTGAACTCATGACCCCAAGACCAAGAGTTGCATGGCCTTCAGGCTGGGCCAGCCAGGCGCTCCCCCACCACTTTCATATTTAGATAAAGATATTAAAAGCATTTAGAATATGCTGAGTAATAAATTAACACGTGTTGAGATTTTTCTGAAAACTCCTTTTTTAATAGATGGTGGTAGAACCCTTAAGACGCTTATGAATATTGAATTTATTCAGAATGGCATCACCGTAAGAGACCACGGCTCTCACTCTGAAAGCAAAAACAAGCCAGCAGGTAGGCCACAAAATCATTCCATTTAAAAAACCCATCTGAGTGAGTGCCAAGAACTAAACAAATCAGAGTTGACTGAATTCCAGAAAATGAGACACCCTTTCTAGGAGAGAAGAGACCTAAGGTGAGGGAAGGAACAAATGCCAGAGATGTGGGTAAGAAGAATCCAGCCCAACTCTGAACCAACTCCTGGCAGTGTGGACGGGCCAAAGGCGGAGGGCAGGCGGAGAGCCCAGACACGAGCCCCCAGGGAACTGAGCAGCAGGACGGACAGACTGCCTGGGGCAGCAGGGCTGTAGAGAGAGCACTCAGGTCTCCACAGACACTGCTTAAAACCTAGGAAGACAGTGGAGAACAGAATCTAGGTGGAGCGAGCAAACAAACAAAGCAAGGCCCAGATTCAGGTCAGCTACAAAGGAGATGGACGGAGTCCCATATGAGGGAGTAAGAGGTGCATCTCTTTCTGGAGGGAGGGTTTACTTCCATCACAACTGTTCTCAGATACAAAGTCCAGCGTGCATTTAAAAAACTACAGACACAAGAAATTTTAAAAAAGATGGGTCCATAATCAAAGTGAAAAAATTAGTCAGAAGACCCACATAAGTAAACCACCCAGATGCTGAAACTGGCAGGCCGGCATTACAAATAACCATGATAAACAAATAGGTAAAAGAATTTAGTTCAAAAGGTGCACATGTGTGAATAGATGGGGGGTTACAGAAGACCAAATGAAACCTTTCCCTGAAAGGTAAGTGGAAATGCGGAAATGTTAGAACTAAAATATGCAATATCAGAAATCAAGAATTCACGTAATGGTTTTAACAGCAGACTGGACTCAGCAGAAGAAAAAAAAAAAAAAATCAGTGAGTCAGAAGACAGAGCAAAGGAATTATCCAAACTAAAACAAAAGAGAAAACAGCATGAACAAACTGGAGACCTCTGAGATCATGCTGAGCCTGTCACACACATTTCAGTAGAGAACCAGAAGGAGAAGAAAGACTGAAGCAACAGATACTGGAAAAGATACAGTCTTAGGAAAAACTGACGAAAGCGATCAACCCACAGACCCAAGAACTTAGCAACTCCAAGGAAAATAAATACAAAGAAAGCTATAGCTGGAGACATAAGAGTCAAATTATTGAATAACTAAACAAAAACAGAAAACATTAAAATCAGCCAGAAGGAAGGGGGAAAGGGAGAAACATTACATATAGGGAAGGACACTTAGAAAAGCCACTGGCTTCTCTTTAGAAACAACATGATCCACAAAGCAATGTTATAACCTCTTTTCTCTTTTGCTGAAATGTCAACCTAGAATTCTACATCCATGGAAATGTCCATTATCTTCCTTAAGAAAGTAAATAAAGATATTTTCAGATAAACAACTGCTGAGAGACACCATCAGCAAAAGTTATTCCCTACAAAATAAAAAAGTTAGACGAAGTTCTTCAGGCCGGAAGCCAAGAAGGGTGGGAAGGAATCAAGAACATACATAGGTAAACAGAAAAGACCTTTTTAGTATCTTTATTTTGTGTGTGTTTCAAAATTTCTTTAAAAGTCCCTTTTTTTTTTCAACATTTATTTTTTTATTTATTTTTGGGACAGAGAGAGACAGAGCATGAACGGGGGAGGGGCAGAGAGAGAGGGAGACACAGAATCGGAAACAGGCTCCAGGCTCTGAGCCATCAAGCCAGAGCCTGACGCGGGGCTCGAACTCACGGACCGCGAGATGGTGACCTGGCTGAAGTCGGACGCTTAACCGACTGCGCCACCCAGGCGCCCCAAAAGTCCCTTTTTATTTAAGCAGTCGATGTGTCTGCTGTGAGGGTTATAACATATGCAGAAGTGACGTATGATGCCACGTGCACAAGAGGTAGACAGTTAGACAAAAGGGCATGCTTGATCGAGTGGTGTTACGTGAACGTCAACTGATGCATTAAGGGTACATATAACACTAAAAATTACACACAGGGTAAGAGCTAAAGGGTCAAGAGAGGAGATGAAATAAAATACCAGAACACCAGAAAGTACTCCACTGACCCAAAAGAAGGCAGGAAAGAAGGAATGGGGGAAAAAGGTGAGACAGAGAACAAATATAACAGTTAAAACCTAAACTTCCGAATAACTAAATGGGTTAAAAACTGAACGTGAAAAAAAGAGACTATCTGACTGGATTAAAAGGCTTGACAACTAAATGTTGCATACAAAAGCCTTATTTCATATATAAATACAGACAGATTTGATGTTAAAGGGCACAAAAAGTACAGACTATGAAAATGTTACGAATAAGAAGGTTGGTACAGATAGTGTAATACCAGACAAGTCTGACTTAACAATTAGAAATATTACTAGAGATAAAAAGAGACATTTCATCATAATGAAAAAGTCAATTTATCACAGTCACAATAATACTAAATGGGTACACACCTACTAAGAGAGCTTTGAAACACATAAAGCAACGAAAGGGAGATTAAGACAAATCCAGAATTATCACTAAAGGTTAACATTCCCCTCTGTCATTGATAAAACAAATATCCACAGGCAGACACATGTACACACACATATAAAATAAGGATGTAAAAGATATGAAAAAAAAAAAAAATCGAACAACCTGACCTATACTGACATCGGTAGACCACTACACCAAACAACTGTATAAAATGCAATTCTCTGCAACGGCACACAGGACATTCACAAGGTGAGATTACCTGCTATATTCTAAAACAAGTCTCAATGAATTTCATTTAAAGGAGTGAAATCATGTTTTCTGACCCATGATGCTACTGAATTAGAAATCAGCTAACAATAAGATACCTAGAAAATCCTCAAATATTTTGAAATTATACAACAACATTCTAAATAACAATGAGTAAAAAGAAATCACAAGGGAAATTAGAAATGTTTCAAAATCAATAAGACTTAAAATATTTCAAAAGTTGCTCCATGCAGCTAAAGCAATAGTTAGAGGGACATTTATACCATTAAATGCTATGAGAAGAAAGTTTTAAATGAATGACCTAAGGTTCCACCTTCAGAAGCTAGAAAATGCAAATTTAGCCTAAAGTAAGGAGAAGAAAAAGAAATAACAGAGAAAAGCACCAGTGAAATAGAAACAAGACGAAGCAACAGTAAAAACAAAACAAAAGACTGGTTGTTTGAAAAGACTGGCAAATTTGACAACCACTAGCAAGAGTAATGGGAGAAAGGAGAAAACAGGAATGACCGATATTAGGAATACAAGAGAGACTCTATCACTACAGATCCTCTAGAAACTACAAAGATAATAATGAAATATCAGGGGTCATTTTATGCTGACACAGCCAACAACTTAGATGAGGACAAGTTGCTTGAAATCCATACCTACCAAAATGGACTCAAAAAAGAAACTCCAAATAGCCACATATTTACCAAAAAATGTGAGCTACAATTAATAACCTTCTAACAAAGAACATCTCCAGTCCTGATAGCTTCATCGATGAACTCTATTAAACATTTACAAAAGAAATAATGCCAATCTTATACAAACTCTTTCAGAAAAATCAAGAAAGAATACTTCCCCAATAGTTTTATGAGACCAGCAGAATCCTGGGATCAAAACCTAATGAAGGCATTATATTAAAATTTTATAGACAAATATTCCTACCAATGTAGACTAGTGAACTGAACCCAGCAATATGTAGGAAGTGTGGTTTATCATAGGTTGAGCTTAATATTCTAAGAGTTATTGATGTATTTTACCACATAACAGGGAAAAAACCATATGATCATCTCTACAGGTGCAGAAAGCATGTGACAACATTCAAAACCCACTCATGATTTAGAAAAACAAACAAGCAAGACACTTCCCTAAAAACACAGGAAACTACTCCTTCAACCCGACAGAGCTACAAGACACATACACAACGAGCACCATACTTAAATAGGTATGCTTTCCCACAAGATTGAGAACACGGGGAGATGTCCGTTCTCACCAAAACTACTCAATATACGGAGGTCCTAGTCAGTATGATAAAACAAGAAAAATAAATAAAGGCATACAGATTGAAAGAATAAAACTGTTCAGTTGTGCAGGATGTGAGTAAGTAGAAAGCCCTACAGAATCTAAAAACAAATAAAAAACTAGAACAAATAGGTAAATGTAGCACGATCTTAGGATACGAGTTAATATACAAACTCAATTCTATTTCCACATATTTTCAATGAGAAAGTAGAAAACGATACTTTAAAAATGACATTTAACGATACTTTAAAAATTGTATCAAAAAATCAGAAATTAAATAAAATGAACTAAAAATATGTGTGAAATTTCTGCACTAAACCCTACAAAATGTTGTTGAGAAGAATGAAAGAATAAATAAATGGATAAACCATGATCACAGACTGAAGACACAATACTGTTAAGATGTCCACTCTCCTGGATGGACCCTTAATGCAATCCAAACAGAAACTCCAGCAAGATTTTTTTTTTTTTTTTTTTTTTTTTTTTACAGACTTATAAGCTGATTCTAAAATCTCTACATAAATAAAAAGGACCTGGGGAACAGGGAGGGGAAAAAAAAAACTGAAACGGAAGAAAAGATGCTGGTGAATTTACACTACCTGCATTGGGGACTTCCCACACAGTACGGAACCAGCACTGTCGTACCGGTTCAAGGACTGATAAAGCAATGTAACACAACAGGGTGCAAATACAAGCCCGCACAAAAAAGAACAGTAACTGAATAAAAGCACCCAGATTGACGGGGAAAGGCAAGTATCCAACAAACGATGCTGTAACTCTAAGGCAGGCATCTGGGGGTGTGAACATCAACTCCTACACCTCATTCCATCCTTAAAACTTAATTCGAGATGAACCCCAGGACTAACCATAAAAGCTAGGATCAAAAAATCTTTTAAAAGAAAGCACAGAATACCCTCACAAACTTGAGGAAAGCAAAGATTTCTTCAGATACAAAGCCTTCACTAAAAAAAGTTGACAAATTTGATTTCATTTGAAAATAGCAAAATTTCCCACTCATCAAAAAAACACCACTAAGAAAAGAAATAGTAAACTACAGTCCAGGGAAAAAATATGGACACATGTATGACGAAGCACTTGTATCCATTATGTGTAAAACAAAAACAAAAAAAACTCCAACTCAGTTAAACAACTCAACAATAAATGAGTAAAAGACTGGGAAGATGGTCACAAAAAAAGCTCTACGAATGCTTAAAAAGCACATACCATTAGTCATGGGGAAATAAATGCAAATGAAACCGCTACGTACGTTCGCCCGTCAGAATGGCTAATTTCAGAAAGAGAGACCACGTCAAATGGGGAGATGTCATACAACTAGAACCCTCATACTCAGTAGGGACGTGAAATGATGAAAAAATTTGGAGAACTGTATTTTCTCATGAAGATCAACATACATATACCCTATGACCTGGCAATTCTCCCTCTAGGCAATGACCCTAGAGAAATGACAACATATGTGTACAAAAGATTTATGCAATAATGTTCCCAGAGCCCTTATTCATAATAGTTCCAAACTGGAAACAACCCAAATGTCCACGGACAGGTACATACAGATAAACGACAACATTTTAATTCGATAGAATACTATGAAGCAGTAAAATGAAATAACTGTTGACACACACAATAGGCATGAATTTCCAAAAATGATGTTTGTTAAAGTGGAGGAAAGAAAACAGTAAATACTATAGGACTACATTCATATGAATTTTGCCTATGAACAGGCAAAAACTAACCTAGGACGAGAGAAATCAGAAAGTAGGGGTGGGATGACAAAGGGTCACAATAACATTCTGTTATCTTATTCTAGCTAGTGGTTACATTATTGTATCTAAACTATACTTCAACAAATCAGCATCTTAATTCTTCATTCACTTTCCCCACCAAAAACACATACACAGAGTATAGATATCATTACTAGGCAGCTAAAAGGGGCTCTTGACACATAGGTGAGAAATTACAAGTAAAAATAAAATCACTGAGAAAATAAACAGTACAAAGATACCCAACGACAGCACACGCAATGAGTTCATACTTATGGTTAAACTCCCGAGTGCAGCCTTCATAAAGTAATCGTTTGGTTCTGGATTTGAGTTTTTGGTTGGTGCAAAATTTACCTATGTCCGAAGACAAATACTTATTTTATACTTTAAGTTTCTTAAATGAGTTGCTAATTGCAACTAAGGGAAATCTCATAAAACCTACAGTTAAGTAAGAGTTATTAAATACAGGTTAAGATACTTTCAATTTTAAGAAGGGAAAAGATTTATCTACTCTTTTCTGAAATGCCCCCCCCCCCATAATTTTGTTAAAAAGTAATTATAGCTCAGTTTGGGAGAAATGATAGGTTTCAGCCCATAGTAGCTTCACTGTGGTTTTATAAGGCAGAGATATGCATGGGAAGGGGTGAATGTTTTCTTTAGAAAAAAAGAAAAAACTGGCGGATAAAAAAAACAACAAAAAACAAAAAGATTCCAAATGGAGAAAGCAGTAGCCGCCTGTACTGCGGAGAGAGAAAACACAAAGGAGGTTTCATGCCCTCCAACTCTATTTCAAATCGACTGGCTAGAGCTACCTTGAATGCTGGTGAAGCTAAGGATCCCCAGGCTGTGCTCTGGTTCAAGGGGAAAGGGGCCATGACTGAGAAGCTCGCTCCGTGGATAAAGGCAAAAGGAGTCAGGATGCTTGTGTGGTGTTTGCCATCCCTTCCTTAGCGGGAGGAGGCTGACTGTGGCTGCCAGATATTGCCCTGCCTAGAGCTCAGAGAATAAGGCAGAGTGCAGTAAGTTACAACCAGGTATGAAAGATACAATTACGGATGTATTTTTAAATCTTCTAAAGAAAATCGTTTGGTATTAAAAGCCTACGTGAAGGTGAATTAAAGCCAAGAACCATCATCTTCAGTTCACTGGAAAGGACACCTGGTGGCAGCATCGCTAAAATGCAAGGGGCAAAATACAAAGTGGCGCGGAAATCGTCCTAAGTGGCAACAACGTGTTTAAACTACAACCCCAAGGTGTCTGGTGCAAAGATCACACACCATCGGGTATTGATACATCACGTTCATCTTACACCAGAGACAAACTAGATTACAAAACACATGATTATTTTCACATTTATATAAAACAAAAAGTAGATCAGGATGCGAAACTGCCATCGTTCACTCTGTTAAACTGACGCAGTCTAGCGATCTGAAACCAGAAGAAAATTACTACAACAATCTAACATTTTGAAAACCTTAACTGCAAGGGTTTTGGACTGACATCCCTGCCGTCCATGCCACCGAGCTAGGAACCAGAACTGAAATCTGCCGAAGGATTACGGAGTCAGTTGATATTCTTGCCACAAATCGCCCAAGTCAAAAATTCTTTTCTCCCGTCGGAACTAATTGTTTTGAAAAAGCCGTTTACTGCAATCCTGACCTCTACTGCCCACAGCTGCAGTACTGTTTACTGTGACGTGGTTATATACACTCACTGTGACAGACAGAGGCTGAACTTTCGGATTCTACTGCTGAAATGAGGCACGGTGATTTGATCAGCTGTGTCACACGGTAGACATACGGTTTCCAACATGAAGCCTTAACTCTGCCCATTAAACACACACTCGTCCATACAGACAGTCCAGGGCAAACTATACCCAACTTTTGAAGAAAGCAGACGCCTAGGTTATTAGTGAAATTGTTAATGGAGACACTGATTTCAAGTAAATACAAAGTGAGCTACCAACAGCTGTGGTGAAATAAGTAACACAGGCTAAATAAATATATATGTAAAAATATAAATAAACAAATCAAGTTTCCCTATTTTACCCGTTTTCCATCTTTGGTCTTCTTTAAGTTCCAAGTGCCATCTGGCAACTTCTCAAAGAACTTTCTTGCTTTTGGTGCTTGGTCAAGAATGTGAGCAGGTGGAATACTCAGAACTTCCACTATTTTATTCATCTGATCTACCTGTATTAAAAATAAAAACAAAAACGCCTGTAACTTCTACTGCAGTACATCCTGCTTCTCCTCACCAGTTCATTCGTTCATCCACAAATTTTATTATTTTCTTTTTAATTTTTTTTGTAACGTTTTATTCATTTTTGAGACAGAGAGAGACAGAGCATGAACAGGGGAGGGTCAGAGAGAGAGGGAGACACAGAATCTGAAACAGGCTCCAGGCTCTGAGCTGTCAGCACAGAGCCCGACACAGGGCTCGAACCCACAGACCGTGAGATCATGACCTGAGCCGAAGCTGGATGCTCAACCGACTGAGCCACCCAGGCGCCCCTCATCCATAAATTTTAAACAGAGCATCTTGCGCATGTCAGGCACTCCTCTTAGGCATTGAGCACACGATAATGAACAAAAGAGATACAGTCCCTACCCTCCTGGAGCCCACCATTCCACACAGGGCAGGGCAGACAAACAAATGAACACGTAAAATCAAATAACCATCCAAAAAAAAATCCCACAGGCTTAATAAAGTGTGGACCAAATAAAGTATATTCTTAAGGGCAGGTTCATTCACTCAAATACCAAGTGTCTCCTATATGCCAGAAGCCATGCTCAGTAGAACATAGCAGTAAACAAAACAGATAAAAAAAATCCCTGCCAAAAAGTTCGTATGATAGGGGAAGAGATCACTAATGAACAAACACATAATGAAATACATTATGTCAGATGACGACGAAGAACCGTGAGGAAATTCAAAGATGGAGGGTGAGAAGGGGCACTGCAACCGAAAGCAGGGTGTCACCAGGAAGAGGGTATGACAGCAAAGACCCAGGCAGGGAGGGAAGGAGCCATGCGCTCCCTGGGGAAAGGGCATTTCAGGCACGGAGAAGCACTAATGCAAAGGCCTTAGTACTATGGGCCTGTGGCTACTGTTTCCAAGGGACCACAGAGTAAGGCTGCGTGCTGGTCCAGAGAGAGTGAGGGGAGGCAAGGTCGTAGAGAGAGCGCTGGAGTCACAGGGAATGGGGGATTCTTTGAATCACTCAAAGAACTTGGCTCTTACAATGGGTGAGGTGGAAGCCACTGAAGTTTCACATGATTTAATAAAATACAGTTAATTGTATCTCATTATGTTTTAGTTAGAATTAATACAATTGAATTTAATACCGTGTAAGCTCATGAGAAAGATCCTGATTTACAGGATAATATTAAGGATAACAAAACAATACCAAACACACACTATGCCAGTTACTGCCCAGGACTAGCTCACTACTCCTGTAGTTCAAGTGAATTAAAAGGATGGAAGGGACAAGTTTCTGACGCCATATTAAGAGTTGTATAGGGGCGCCTGGGTGGCTCAGTCGGTTGAGCGTCCGACTTCGGCTCAGGTCACGATCTCACGGTCTGTGAGTTCGAGCCCCGCGTCAGGCTCTGGGCTGATGGCTCAGAGCCTGGAGCCTGCTTCCGATTCTGTGTCTCCCTCTCTCTCTGCCCCTTCCGTTCATGCTCTGTCTCTCTCTGTCTCAAAAATAAATAAATGTTAAAAAAAAAAAAAAAAAAGTTGTATAACCCTGTGTAAGTCATGGTCTTTCTTTTCTTATTTATAAATGCATGGACTGATCAAGATCTGTAATGGTTAACTTTTCTTCAAAACACAAAAAAAACCACAAGGTTTTAAAGCCAATGGAAGTCCAATTCCTCTGACTACAAGAGAGCATGGCCTCTCCCGTGCCCTCCTAGGCACTGCCTCTGACTTTCCAACACCTTCTGAGAACAGACCGGAAACCCATGAATTAAAAGAATTACATATAGCCTGTAGCTCTAAAATTCTATAATCGTTAATTCACCCTAAATTACTCAGATCAAATCTCATCAAGGCTGCCAGCCATCACTTCTTAAATTCTAAATCGTACCCTCAAAATTTACAGCAATGATGACACTGTTTTCATAGTGGCCCTCGTGCCTTTGTTACCTTTTTCTGTTATATTATACTTAAAATCTGTAACATTTAAACCAAAATGTGTAACATTTTCTAATCTAACTTATTGTTCTCCTTATTAGCAGATGAAAAGATCTCGCTTCCCATCTCAAAATCCTAAACTCACCATTATAATAATTGAAAAACTTTTTTTTTTTTTTAATTTTTTTCTTTTCAACGTTTATTCATTTTTGGGACAGAGAGAGACAGAGCATGAACGGGGGAGGGGCAGAGAGAGAGGGAGACACAGAATCGGAAACAGGCTCCAGGCTCTGAGCCATCAGCCCAGAGCCTGACGTGGGGCTCGAACTCAGGGACTGCGAGATCGTGACCTGGCTGAAGTCGGACACTTAACCGACTGCGCCACCCAGGCGCCCCTTGAAAAACTTTTTAAATGAACAATATAAATTCAAAACTGACCCAACATTTGAATATTTAACTTGATTATAAGCAGACGTCTTTTCCTAAAAAAATTTTAAGATTACACAAAGATTAAAAACAAAAGGGAATTATGAAAACAGAAACAGAATTTAGAAAGCAATCATCATATACCTCATTGGCTCCACTGAACAGAGGTTCTCCAGTGTGCATTTCAACCAAAATACACCCAAGGGACCACATGTCGATAGCAAGGTCATAAGGCATTCCCAGTAGCACCTCTGGAGACCGATAAAAGCGACTCTGAATATACTGGTATATCTGAAATATATTGCAATATCATATTAAATTCCAACATAAGTTTTGTTTAATTGTGCTCAACACTGAATTAAGAACATTTATCTGGTATCAACAGAAAAAATAATTGGCTAACTCCTAAGTTGGGGTTCCATTTACTGATTTCACCTTTATGCTACAAGTATCATCTAAACAAACATTTCAAGAGAGTGGTTAATCACACTGTGAAATGCAAAACATACAATTCAAGCCCTTTCATTTAGTCCAATCCTAACTGGCAATCAAGATACACCTTAAAACAATTATGTTTTGTTAGAAAAAAGACATTATTGAGAATAGGGTCTCCCTATTAATTACTCTTTCCTGCCATGGATAGCACTTGGTTTGCCACTAATTTAAGGACTAAACTGTATTTTAATTAACCTACAGAATGTACTTCAGCATCAGGTCAAATAAACTCAGTACAATGTAAATGAAAATTCAGACATCTATTACTGTACTGGGTTCACAGATGTATCTGAGAAACACCCCCATATAAAATGCAACCGGAGGGCATTCCTGATCAATCACTTCTTCTCTGCCCTGTCCTCCTCCACCTCCATTTGAGAATTCTTAGGGAAAAAAATCTTGAAATGGATAATTTTCAGTGAAGTAATCTGAGAATGTCCCTAGAGACCAATTCATTTTCAGCCATCATAAATTTGTATTTAGAAACATCAGGAAAGCAAACAAAGTTTTACTCAAAAAGAGAAAGAAAGAAACAAAATCCTCCTAACTAAAGCTCTTCACACTTAACAGTCCAATTAGGTGGCCAGCGGCGTGGTGCTTTCTCACGGATGCTTTTGTGGCTCCCACCTAAAACTCTAGCCGAGTCCCCAAAAACAATTTGATGCCCCATAAGCAGATCAACCCCAAACCTAAGGCCTTGTCAGAATGAAGAAAGTGAAATTCAAAGGGAGAGGTAAGAAGTATTACGTTTCCAAGTTTGTGGAGGGCCAACAGCATCGGTAAGCCCCAACGACTCCCTACATCTCAAAGGTCTCATTTCCCAGCTTACGTCTGTCACTCGTCTATTCGGTTTGGTCAAAGCAGCGGCTGGGTCATCTACAAGGCTGTGCACCCAAATCCCCTGCAACATGCCTGCTGGCCACCTTCTGAGACGGAACCAGTAAGTGCAGGGCAGGGCAGGGCCACTGGGTGTGCGTCTCAGGAAGGATCTCTCACTCTCACCTGACACGCTCACATAGTTTAAACCTCATGGAGCTAAAGGGATACTTGTCTCAATTTGGCTGGAGAGGCACAGTAGTGTTTGATATTAGATCACAACATAGGATTTAGGTTTAAAAGGTGAGGGCGTAGAAATTTTCCAAATCTAAATCTATTCAAATGATGTTCAAGATGGGCATGTATTTCCCATTCACAATATACTTCATCCCCATCAACAATTACGCACATCTCTTGATTTTCAGAGGCATCTGAAACCCCAAACTTTGCTTCCCACTCCCCTAAATCTCAATCAGTGATCTACAGAACACTGCTACCATAAGACAAGTTGTAGAAAGTAACAAAAAGCCTGATAGTCCTGTTAACTGGCTATGAACCTCCACAATTAAATTAACCAGCCATGCTTAAAACACAAAAAGATTGTGCAACAGAAAAGTTGCACAGGATAAGAAATCCAATCGGGAAAAACAAAAAGCGGAAAGCCAACATGAAATAGTATCTGAAAGTCAGTTGTGGCCTTTCCTTTTTTCCCCCTGCTAAGAAGTGCAGTTTCAATACTTTCAAGTAAATAGCAACAGTGTCTGAAGTAAGTAAAACATCATCAAATGGGGATCTGACTTCCTTTCAAGAAGAGAGCAACCTATCACTCCTATTCTATATGCAAAACCCGCTGTTAAGGGTAGCTTTCATTAACGCTAGAAAGAATAGCAGGAAAAATCTTTCTTCCATCAGCCAAATCTAAATCCATTTATTGCTATAGACAGGTCTGTCTTCAGCAGTCTGAGAAAAACCAGTTTGGACATGTGTCAGAATGTATACAGGGCAGAAAAGATTTAAACTTATTTATCAACACAAGTATACTAACCGTGTAATTTCTATACAAGATCACCATGTGTAATGTAAAATTACCTGTATTTTTCTTAACTTACCAGTTTTTGGAGAAACACATTTATCTTGATCTTTAGACAAATATTTCATAGCAAGGATTCAATGCTCTAGTATTGGAATAGCCCCAAATTTATACTAAAACCTCTACTTGGAAAATACACAGATCCACGTAATATTTAATTCGCTCATCTCCTATTCTCTCTTTTAGGCACACAGGTCATTTTTTAAACCCCATTCTAAAAAACCAATACCTTCTCATTCAAAACCTAACTATTTGCATTTGAAGAGATACTTCCCCAAAATAGGTTTCAACACAATGTGATTCAAGCAGCACATTTTAAAGAGAACCATCCTGTGATTACCTCTGAATTGTATACATATTAATAACATCTCAAATATCTACCTACACTTTTACCTAATTCTACTTTAATACACAAGTCCTGAAATATACTTACCCTCTGCCCCAACTGACAGGAACTGCCAAAGTCAACGATCTTGATTGCACTGCGTTTGGGGTTACAAAGAAGGATATTCTCAGGTTTTAGGTCACAGTGAATGATACTAAGTTCTGGAGTCGCGAGGAAAAGCAGTGCAGTGCACATCTGTTGTGCAAATTTTCGTGTTAGGTTCAAAGAGACACCTCGAAAATTGGTGTTCCTCAACAAGTCATAGAGGTTGTAGGACAGCATTTCAAAAACTAAACAGAGATGGTTTCGAAACATAAAGTGGCGCTTCAAATGCACTGAAAGAGGAAGAAAAAGTTTCATTTTAAATTATATATACCAATAAGATGAGAATAATGTATGCATGCATGAACTCTCAAACAGTCTAACAACATTTCCACGTCAGATGTAGAGTGAAAACCAAGTTGAAATTTGGAGATCGGCATTGTGCACTAACAGCACATTCTGTAACCAGTCAGGAATATCTAGATTGTTCACCTGCTAATTAAACAGGTGTCGTGCCTGCCAATCAGCAATATAACGTGAGAAGTATCACCAAAATGCTTAGTTTAAAAAAAAAAAAAGAAATCAGGTCTGAAAACACACATAGCAAACTGACAAACAATACTGAGAATACTTCAGTGACTTTCTGCTCACTTCTATGAGAAAGTATTTTTTACTCCCTGAGAGCCCAACCTTACAACTTCATATAAAGCCCCACCCACTGGGATCTCCAGGTTGTGACCATGCTGCTGTAGGCGGCTCTCAGGCTCTGATATATATCCATATTCCGCTTTGCTGAGCCTTGGATCTCACTAGTAATTTCCTGTAACAATTGTCAAAGGAAGGCACAGATCTTTTTTCTTTTAGGCAAATACAACAAGTATGTGAAAAGCATGCTTTACAAGAATTAGAGTTCATAATCAAGGCATTTGATTATGTTCATCAAACTGGTACATGGGATATCTTGTGCACAACTGAAGGTTTGGGAAAACTTGAAAATAAAGCTCAATCACAAGAAGAAACTGTAAGCAGGCTCATGAATGAGAAAAAAAGGGTACAGAAGCCATTATATGCGATCAGTGTTGACCTCTAAAAAGGCTTAATACACACTAAATTGCTTCAAAGATTGTGCTTTTAGTATTAACACTGACTGCACATCAGATGAGGTCATTCAATAAAGTGATACCCTTCACTATAAAATTCTTATATATACCAAGCTGAACACTTGTTACTCAACTGGAATGACATAAAACAACCATCTGTCAAGGTTACCTTCATTTTGGTCTCTTAGTTTCACAAAAAAACAGGTTTCTCTACAGATCTATCTGGAGTAACTATGACGGTATTCAATCTCTGGTCCCCAAAAAATGGGGGATACACTGTGTGCTCCTGAATGGCCTCCCCAGGAGCAGGGCCCGTCAACATTGGTTTCACATCATTCTTGATACAAACAATCCAAAGCTGGGATAAATAATACAAATGCTAAACAGCTCTATAGGAGTCTACAGTACAACTCAACACTCTGAAAATAAAAAGAATCCTTAAAGGTTACATAAGAACGTGTAACATCTGGGGCTCCTGGGTGGCTCGGTCGGTTAAACGTCCGACTTCGGCTCAGGTCACCATCTCCCTGTTAGTGGGCTCGAGCCCCACATCAGGTTCTGTGCTGACAGCTCAGAGCCTGGAGCCTCTTTTGAATTCTCTGTCTCCCTCTTTCTAACCCTCCTCTGCTTGCTCTCTCTCTCTCTCTCTCTCAATAATAATATAAAAAATTAAGAAAAATTAAAAAAAAAAAGAATGTATAACATCTGCTCTTAATCAGTGAAGCGCATAGGTTTAATACTATAAACAGAGCTCCATGGGCAAGAAGACACCCCAGCAACATGGTCAAGAGTTTTAATTTGATGAAGCAGTAGCCACAAAAAGAATGTAGAAAGTAACTGATGTCAAAATTCCAGTGTAATTACAAAAATTCCTTTAAGAAACTCTGTGATTACAAAGTTCTTCGAATGGAAGATCAATCCGCTTGGTTCCACCTGACTTCCCAATTCATTACTCATTTACTGAGTAACTACAATGGGCTGAGCACTAAAGACATTGTCAAAGAAAGCTCAAACACAAATATATTTATGTATCTTTTTCACCGAACTTTGGGGATACGGTTGTGTTACCTTTTTAACTGAACTTTGTTGAGGGTCAGCCAAGACTTTGTTCTAAACCTAAAGTGAATTTTAACTAGACCCATGACAGATACCAAATAATCCACGTGAGCAATTATGCTGCATGGTAAAGAAGACTTTTTTTTTTTTAGGCTCAAAGACCTAGGACTACAAACTATTAGAATAAATGATTCTTATCAATCACTTCAAAACAAAAAGAAGTTACTGACATCACAAAAGAGAACATGACTTTGAGACATCTTAAACTTTAAGTGTCAATTCTCCTGGAACGGCTATGTCTAATCTTAAAGTTTTTGCTTGTTTTCCAATATAGAGCCTCAGTTTCTTGAGACACTGTGCATTCACCACCTTCCTAAATAAAAACTTTAAAAAAAAAAAAAACGCATCCCAAAAGCATCTATAATAATTGATGCCATTAATAATCATTAAAGTCAGTTTATTAAAAACAAATTGACAGCCATTATCATATACACCTGAATAACTAACATTTATTGAATGCTTACTGTAAATTTGCCATGTTTTCTTTCCGTAAGACAGAATTCAAATGTAATGCCATCAACATTTTCTCTACTACTTAAGCAAACACTCAAAACACAAAACACAAGAGTGAGGAGGAAGATGTTCACAGATTATAAGTCAAGTATCCTTCAAATGTCCTTCTTGAGCTTCTAAGCCCTTTGAACGAAAACAGGCTCAAATTTACACATTATAACTGACACTGAACAGTAAATGTTCAGTGAGTATGAAAGGTTTTAGGGGCACCTGGGTGGTTCAATCAGTTAAGCATCTGACTTTGTGGCTCAGGTCATGATCTCACAGATCGTGGGTTGCAGCCCCGCGTCAGGCTCTGTGCCGACAGCTCAGAGCCTGGAGCCTGCTTCGGATTCTGTGTCTCTGTCTCTCTCTGTCTCTGTCTCTCTCTCCCCCTCCCCCACTTGTGTTTCTCTCTCTCAAAAATAAATAAACAAACAAACAAAAAAAAAAAGAAAAGGGTTTAAATAGACATGTTATTACTATGGATTATATCAGGTTTTCTCTACAGAGAAGAAATTAAGAAAAATTAATAATATTAAGGTCATTTTACTGTAACACTAGGGACTGAAGGCGGTTTCATAAAGGAAATCTGATCTTGGTATCTGAACCTTACATCTTTAAACATTTTTTGTTTCCACCATTTTGGGCACACTAAAGAATCATAATGCCCACTTATTCATAAAAAGATATTTATTAAATAAAATTTAACCTCATGTTTATCAAGTCAGGCCAGCATTTCTGGAAATGAGTTGCTATGTATACATGCCTAGAAAAACTTCTATAGTTAGTTGATCCTAAGGTCTCAATCTTAAAACTTGATGGTATTTTATATTTACTCTTGGTAGCAATTTGTTTCTTGGCACATAGAATAATGGGATCTTACAATCCTCGGCATCTTAGATTTGACTGAGAACAGTATTAAACAAGGTATATTCAGATGTTGTTGGGCCCATATATCAACTGACTTCACTATTTCCAGAATTTTTCTCTTTTTTGTTTTCAGGAAAAACACTGTAAGACAAGGAAACAAACACAGGGTCTAGATTCCAGCAGAGGTAGGTTCAGATGCTAGCTGCAGAGCCCCTGGGATCCTGGGTATGTTACACTTTGTAAACACAGTCTATAATCTAAGGACCCTACCGCTTTCCTTACAGGACTACTCTATTACAGATGATGGAAGAAAAGCACAAGGAATATGATAGGAGTTCAAGAAATAGTGGCTATTACCTCTTTTCTGTTGTAATAAGTCTTAACAGCATCTAATGCTGTCAAACTGACAGATAGCCTGAGGAGGAGTCTGAGAACTTGGCTCAGACATTCCAAAACTAGTTCTATTATTGTAATGTATTTGGCTTACTTCTAATTTCTGAGGGTAGGAGAAACAGTTAAAGTTGCTAAAAAGAGGACCCCTGGATAAAGTGCATCATTACAGCAAACAAATGGCACTAGTAAGTTGCAAAACACGATACTATTCTTGTGTTTCTAAATTATACACCACGAGGAATGCACATTCCCCAAGATTTAGAATATTACTGCCAGATCGAGTAACCGACAAAAATCTATGCCCTCCAACAGAAATAAACAGTTGAATTTTTAACCTATCACTTTAAAAATTAACATATTCTCATTCAAAAACAACCATGAACTCAAACTTCTGGCCCATGTGAGGGCACATGGCTTTGTGTGCCTGTTTGTTTACCTATGTAGTATTTCATTTCAGTGTCATGTTTGTTCATGAGCTCAAGAAGTCGCACTTCTATCTGGGCTTGATTCAGAAAAGCCTTCTTGTTCTTTATTATTTTAATGGCAACCCATTCTTGCTCCACACGATCATATGCTTTTACAACCTAAAAGAGAAAAAAGATAAATAATTCTCTACTAATGGCAACAACTGCACGACATTCTACATTTAACTTTAATTGTATATTTACCTAATTCTCATTCTTCTCATCTCCCTAAGATGAGGTCCTGTTCGTTTCCATTCAGTCTCATCCATTTACTACTTTACAGTCAACTTTAAGTCAACCTTTTCAGTTACATTTCTTTTGTATCCTTACAGTATTTCTAAATATCCACAATATTGCCTTCTTAACAAAAGCCAGATTTCTCCAGAAACAAATTTACATCATGACAAGTGCTTTGCTTTTTTACCTTTTTTACTAAATGACACTATAAAACAATTCTCCTAACCTTTTAATGGGAGAAAAACCTGGTTTAAATCTCAAGTATATGTGTAAATTATTTATTTTTTAAAGTTTTTTTAATGTTTATTTATTTTTGAGAGAGAGTACGTATGAGTGGTGGAGAGGCAGACAGAGAGGAAGACAGAGAATCCGAAGCAGGCTCCACGCTGTCAGGGCAAAGCCCAAAGTGGGGTTCACACTCACAAACTGTTGAGATCATGACCTGGGCCAACGCTGGACACTCAACTGACTGAGCCACCCAGGCACCCCTCAGGTAAAATATTTAAAATAAGGTTCTGAGTCATTTGAAAAATGCAGAAAGCTTCCTAACCTTAAGTTAGATTTTCACAAACACGGGTATATAACAAAAGAATAGGTTTACTTAAAAAAAATAAATCTAATACAAATTACTCAGAAAGTTCCATGATATAAGGTAAAAGCCACAATTAGTGGATTTTGATAGTTTTAAAGTAGGAATCAATGCTAAGGAAAGTGGAGTGTTCATAAGCAAATCACCATGTACACCTCTCATCTTAATTTTACTCATTTAAAAGGAGTTTCACACTACTAACAAAGAGAGTTACATAAAAATTAGGAAATCGGGGCACCTGGGTGGCTTAGTCAGAAACATCCAACTCTTGATTTTGGCTCAGGTCATGATCTCACGATTTGTGAGATCAAGCCCCAAGTCGGGCTCTGGGCCAACAGGGTTGAGCCTGCTTGGGATTCTCTCTTTCCCTCTCTCCTTGCCCCTCGCCCATTCACGTACTATCTCTTTCGCACACACACAAAATAAACATTTAAAAAACTCAGGAAATCAATACATTGATAAAAGAGAACTATCCACAAATCAGAAAGAGCAATCTGGTTAAATGTTAATTTATATTTATAATACATACAATCTGAATAGGCAAGAGTTTTTATACATTTTCTAGGATATTCAGAAAGCCTGGAGATAGATGTAGGTAGAACTCCAGGTAATTCCAATTTGGAGGCTGAGTACCACTAGAGGACAGGAAGAGAATGGAATGTATGAAGATTTACATCAGTCAAGGTTAAATATATCGTCAATGGTATATTATAAATGGTCCAATTAAAATCAAACTTGGAGGAGTGCCTGGATGGCTCAGTCGGTTAAGTGTCCGACTCTTGGTTTCAGCTCCAGTCACCATCTCGCGGTTTCGTGGGTTCAAGCCTCACATCAGGCTCTGTGCTGCCAGCTTGGGATTCTGTCTCCCTTTCTCTCTGCCCCTCCCCCACTTGCGCCATCTCTGTGTCTCTCAAAAAAATAACTTGTTAAAAAAAATTTTTTTTAATCAAACTTGGAATGAAAAATGCAATTATTTCTGGTTTCATCCAATTCTAGAAAAAAGAGTATCTACTGTCTTTAAAATCGGAGGCTACCCCTATAAACATCTGACCAAGCGGTTTTGATATTCTTCTATTTCACTGACTATATTGACGGCACCAAGATTTGCAGTTCTACGCCTGGATCCTAATGGTCTCCAGGACAAAGGCCACTAACGGGCCCAACTATTTACTGACTTAGCAAATAGTTAACCGGCTAAATGCTAAAGCAATGGTTTCCGACCCTGAATTACACATTCAACAGGCAGCTTGAAAAAATACAAACGCGCAGAATCCAGCCACAGAGATTCTGGTTTAATTGGTTTACAAGCCCAGGTGGCAGTCCTTTCCCCCCAACATCCCCCCCCCACCCCCTGCCAAAGCTCCCTGGGAAATTTCAATGTGCAATCAAGACTCCTAACCATTGGCTAAAGAAATGAAGGAGCACCTTACTTGATAAGGATCTGGCAGAGTTCAGAGAAAATCTGATCAAGTCAGTATGGAAGACATTACCCGGTGAGTGACAGGTCCTGAACCTGAACACGCGTGAGCCTAAGGCAGGCATCAGTCTAACCTGATGAGATGGAGTCTGAGGTCAACGGGTCTCAATTTTCAATCATTTAACTATGCTCGCTTGCTCTTAGGAATTAAAGTATGAGAAAATCAAAGTGAAGGGGAGGAGAAAAACATCGCTCTGAACTCAAAGACTACATATTTAGGGAAAACCAAAAAACCAAAATGGAAAACGAAGTTTAGAGAGTCGGCTGTATGGCACAATTTCCATGGTGAACAACACAGGGGTTAGAAAACTGTCCTACTGAAGGCAGATGCCCAAGTAGCTGGTGTGATTTTCAAGGTGGAGCCAGCAATCCCTGGATCTAGGGTGCGTGCGGCCTTACTAAAAGCTGGGCCTCAGACACGCCTTTCCTTAGGAGACCCTGAGAGAGAAGGAGCTGCTTCTGACAAAAGAAGTAATACTTCATAAAGAGGGAGTCCCCCAACACTGAGAAACCCCTAACTCAAAGAAAAAGAGGTTACAAATCAAGGAGAAGGTCCCTGAGTTCTTTACAAGTACTGCAACTACTTGGAATTTGAAAGCGGGAAGGGGCAGATACTATACACAGGTGGCACCAGGGCCTTGAAGAGCCACACTGGAATTACAGAGGCCTCCTAGCAACCTTGTACGTATTTCCTTACAGGTTTAATAGCTGAAGATTTTTCTGGGTCTTTTCTGGGTGGCTGCTCATGGCCCACAGTACATTTTTTGTCCTAAGTGTGATCAGACGCATGCACAGGCTGAAAAAAAGGCATTATTTTTCCTTCTCTCAGAGCAGGAATGGGTAAATAGGAGCACGCGGGTTCCATAGTTTTAAAAGGCCCCAAAACAAAACAAAACCATTTTTCTTTAAAGGTGGTTCAGGAAAGTCATTTTGAAACCCATTCTATCCTCATCACTGAAAAGTCCAAAGAAGTGTTTGAACTGCAGGTTAGTGATGGCCTCACCACACAAAGGGCGTGAGGCAAAGGAGACTGGGATCAGCAGTAAATCACACCTCACACCAAACAGAGCTTGGGGACTCAATGAGATAGGACTGACAAGTGGGAGCAGCTAGCGGGGCAGGTCCACAGCCAGAGAAAAAGTTTCTTCAAAGTGCAAGGATGAAGGTGCGATGGCTCTCGGTCTGAGCACAACTGATGCAAGAGACCGCCATATTTAGGGTTTTGCACCCTACGCTGAGGCTGGGCGGGCAGGTGAGGACGGAAGGGCTGTGGGTGGAGACGAGGCCAGGAATAAAGAGAAACACCGAGTTCTATTGGGGAGCCCCTTCCTCCTTTTCCTGCTAGAAGCTGCTAGAAGCTAGAAGCTAGAAGCTGCTGAATGATCCTTTCCATCACAGTCACGGTATCAGCCGTGCTGGTACCGTGAGAACGGGAAGAGGAAACCCTGAAGACCATGTGCCCACTTCAAGGCCTGATAACAGAAGGTAAGTTGAGAGAAAAACCAGGACACAGCCCCTGGCTTTCCCAGCCTCTAAAAAAGTGGCAGGGCACCTGCTGTGCCAACTGAACTCTTTTCTTTTTGAAGAGGAGTATCAGATAGGAAGGTAATTATCTCTTGCATCCATAGTGAAGAATCATCCAGAGACCATACACCAATCCGTATGAAAGGGGCAATACTACCTGTTAGCGATTCCGATCAACTCATGTATCAGTAAGGTAAGTACTTGATAGCTCTGGAAAGTAAATATGGGAAGTCTAATGGAGTTTTTAGAGCTGATGCAGTTTTAGTGCCTTTGAAGGACCATGATAACCCCAAATACTTACATATCTGCTGTTTACATCTATTTACAGACATTGAAAGTGTACTACTGAGGAAAAGGCATAACGACATGATTCACTAGGAAGCTCTAATTTAGGAAATACAGCATTTTCCATTAAATTACCTGTCCAAAGGAACCTTTGCCTATCAAGGAGTCAATTTCGTAACGATCCATCCACTTCTCTCCGTTTTTTACAATATAATCATAGTTATCATCATCATAACCATCATTGTAAACCTTCCGCTCCTTCTTATGACTAGAATCGTCTCCCTGGCCCTGTTGGTGTCTTCGCTTCTTTTTTGCATAGTAAACCTGAAATGAGAATGTACCGGTGTTAAGTGTAGAATTTAAATCTTTGGGGGTGAGGAGGCGCCATGTGCACGTGCGTGTGTGTGAGATATAGATCAAGAGTATACGCGAGACAAATGTGCCATCAGGAAGAAACTGATGAATTTTTATTCCTTAGAACAAATACAAAAAAAATGAAATAAAGAATTTTCTATAGTTGCTATTTGAATTACGTAATGACACTGATATATAACCATTGAAAAACGTCTACGGTGAAATTCACCTTTAAATTATATTGTTTATACATCTTATCAACAGATGCTAAGTGACTAGTCAAAGTATCCCATTCAAGAAGACTAACAGAGTCTGATTTATATCGATTTCTTAAACTAGAATATAACTTGTATACAATGAGATGGCATAGCTTGTACGAGTATAATATGAGGGATGGGGGCAGGGAGGGGGGTGTGTGTGTAGATACTGATGTAATCAACACATGCCAAACCAAATAAAGAGCTTTTTCATCCTATCAACTTCCTGCATCCCCATTTTATATTGGGTCTTAAGGCAAAAGGTTTTAAAAATGAAAGTTTAGATGGGTGTGAACTAAAATTTTCCTAATACAAAAGGCCGTCTGAGACACTCCGGTTTTTAAGCCTATAATAACGTAACAATTAATGAAAGCCGGCCGCTCCTTCCCCTTCCCCTTCCCCATACCAAGGGCCGTAAACCCTGTGGCTGATCACAGTTGAGCTCTTCTCCTTCTATCTATTTTTCTTACAAAATTGTTTCTAAAGCCAGTTAAAAAATTACAGGTAGACTAGGCAATAGTTCAAGTAATTGGTAACTAACTGAGGAAATTATAAATTACACTGCACAGAATAACACCAGAAAAATTCTAGTTTACAAGGTGCCAAAATGGTTAAAAACCTGCTTCAGCAAAGCTACTGGGAAACTCTGATTTCACCACAGGTTAACAGCAGCTTTGTTAATCATCTCCCAGATATTAACAAACTGACATTAATAAACTGTTAACAATTTTCCAGATAATCAAAACTAGTTTGGCACATCTTTTCTAACACATTGTGTACAAAATCCAACGCAGAAATGTTCATCGTTGAGTGCATACTAATCTTACCTTGCCACACTGCCACAGTAATACAACTATACTGGCATTAAACAGCATCAAACTGATATAAACTATACACATGCATAAGAACATGCTTTTAGTTAAATGGCTCCAGAGCTGGAACGGGGCAAGCCTTTAGTATGAAAGGAGACAGGGCTCACATGAAGAGGAAAGGAAGCATAGACACATCCACTCTTCTCCAGAAAAGCTCATTTCATAATTAATTACGGAGCTACAGCTGCGGCTAGAAGCAGATGGCACTCAAGCCAAAGGTCTAAGACACCAGAAAAAGAATGTTTGGAGCCAAAGGGCCAAGGTGATATGAGTAATTCCAAGTGCTATGTTTTTTACTCTATTTACATCCACCAAAAACGCTTTCAAATATTTACAATAAAGCCACACACCTAAAAATTTAAAAGACAATTTAAAGCCACAGAAATAGAGACCTGTCAAATAAAGTAGGCCAAATTCCTGTTAACTGGGTATTAGATCTCACTCTGAGTTTCCTGACATCCATGGCGAAAACAGAAAGACATATAATAATTTACACAAAATTCTAACATATGCATAATTTTACAGTGTCATTATTCCCTCCTTTTCTCCTTTCTTGCTTTAGAGAAGAGTTATTACAGAAACATGATCTCAGCATATATTAAATACAACTTGGAAAAAAGGGAAGTCATCCTACAATTATCTTAATTTTTTGCAGTCCTTGTTAATATAGTTTTTTTCTTTTACACAATTACATTACCTATAAATCATTAACACTCTGGTCTACACAATAATCATCAACATTATAATCACTGGGAATAAAGTTTAGTATATTTAAAAAGGCCACAAAGTAACTTTTCTTCCCTGCTCTATTGCAAGATATGCTATTAAAAGAAATCAGTCATCTTACCTCATTAATATGCTTATATGTTTTGATCAAGTCAACAGAAAGTTTTCTCAGGGGAGCAGTTGCTGGATCACGGAAGGTTTGGGGCATCCGCCTCTGTAACATGACAATATCAGGCATCACCTTAAATAGACAGAAAAGACTAGCACTTTAACTATACTGTACTGGTATAAATCCCCTCTCTTCTGTAACCTGTGTACAGGTATTAAAAAAAAAAAAAAAAGACATCTACATTAGAAGATCATGCATTCTCTCTCAGTTATCTCTTTCGCCTGGATTCCAATGAAGACCACTGGAACAAAGAAGTGAAATTAGAAGATAATGTGCCAGCTGTGGCTTTCGATCCCGTTCCCCAAATTAAAGTGGGATCACAGACACACCCATGAGTCCAGGAGACACACACGCCACTGCCCAAGAGGGCTTCTCCATCATACAAGGAAAAAGTTCTTCCGAATTATTCCTAAAGCCCGATCTGGTTGACAAAAGGCAAAGGCAAAGACAAACCCAACTTTCAGCTTCCTAGGACATGGTGTCAGGACCCGCTGGCACCACAAAGCAAGGCGGCCACAGGGCAAGACTGGAGCCCGGCACTAAGGCCCCCCACACCCTCAACCCTGCCTTCTGACAAACACCTGCCCTGTAAGCAAGGCGGAAACCTGCGTTTGTTTCTTTAACAAAACATGCTCTCCCGGGTAACACGCCCCAGCTTACTGTCCGCATTCCCTCCCCGCCTTAGCACTTAGCACCACCTGACATACTATATTTACGCATTTACTGGTTCTAGTTTTTTCTCCTTCTCCTCCCATTACAAGAAAAACTCCATAAAGTCAGGGATTCCTTTGTTCAGTGGTGTATTATTCCCTTTGCCTAAAACAGCGGTGGGCACATTCAATATGTTTCATAAATACCTGCTGAATAAACCAATGAATCCACAATACCGAAATCTCTACTTACAATTACACTAGGAGGGGACCCCAAGTAAGTTCCAGAGAACACTTTAAAGCTCGTGAAACTCTTTTAAAAACTAATTCCAACCACATTCTATTAACAACCTCCCCACTCGAATCCTAAACGGTGTCCCTTTTATCCTGTAACAGGTAGTCAGAGTTCGGCTGTGAGCTTCCTGCTAGATGGGAGGGGGACCAGAGCAGGGGCATCCTCCGTACATACACCAGGAATGCCTCCACTAGTGTGCCATGATCCTGGACTGTGGTCCCAACAGGGCTTCTTGCCATCAACAGATCCTCAAAACCGATGACGTGCATCAAGGTACCTACAGTCACCATCACCAGCCATTCGCGGATTCCTGTCTAGCTCTTGCAGACAGCGATGCCACAAAATCTAATGACTGAGCCAGATCCCCTGGCACAGCCCCTCTCCAAGGACACTCAGGTCAAGGTGAGGGGCTGAGAGACAGCAAATGCATCATACCAAGGCCTCACCGAAATGTCTGGGGTCTTGGGATAATTAACCACATCAACCCACACCAACAAAACAGAGGGTTGGTCTGTAAGGTGATGGTGGACTTAAGAGTCACCATCCCCTTGGTAAGACAAGATGGGAGCGATCGTGGCAGTTTCCCAGGTGCATTTTCTCTAAAACTAACATTAACATTGGTTTCCTCTGCCTCTATACTCAAACTCTAAAAAGCTATTATCCAGAGAGTAATTTCACTGAATTACTGTAGTAGGCTATTAATTCATTCTCTGTCCTCATGATCTTTCCCTCCTTAAAGTTCGAAATAAAGTTTAAGGGGGTAAAACTCTTTGGTGGTTAGAACTATTTGTCTGCAAAGATGGCAGCAATTAATAAGAAAATCCAAAGTACTTAATTTTTCAAATATATGTTGTTTTATCTTGCTAAATATAAAGAGCAGGTACAGTGAGATGCACAGGATATTCTATTCTTATACTGTTCCTTGGAGATGTAATTTAATCGAGTAACAACACTGGTAATAAGCATGTCAATTATTTTTATGTGAATGAATGCTATAAGCAGTTAAGATAATGAAAAAGGTTTGCCTTAACATATTTCCTTCTTTATTTTTTAAGACCCTGGCAACGTTTTCTCATGCAGGGAATTAACTCGGCAAGACCATCCTTGGAGCACTGGAATGCGGCTAAACCCCACCATGAGATCTTACAGAACCTCAACCAGTGAGGTATTTCGTTACTACTCTAAGAAAAGTTTGGCGGGAGGCGTAGCTGCGGTTAGAAACAAATGAATGACTTAAGTAGTTGACAGTAAAATAAGAGAAGCAAGTACTTGCTCCACGCCCTGTCAGAAGCATACACAGATTTCTGCATCGCTCATGGAATCCTCTCAACGATCTCCTGAGAACGAGCAGTGTTCTTGTCACCAGCTTGCAAGTGGGAAACCGGAGTCTAGGATGTGAAATGCTCAGCCGGAGTTCCGCAGCTCGTAAAGGGCACCTGTGAGATGGGAACTGAGACCGTGCGAAGTCCTGGGCCCTGAACCACACAACACCGGGCCAGGAGCTCCTTCCTGGTCAGGGGAAGGCCTCAATTCTACCCTCTTGGCCGAGTCGCTTTTAGGCTATTTGTAGGGCAACATCACGGAGTTGTGCTTAATAAATATCAATAAAATAAGCATGTGAATTTATTAAAATTAGTTATACACAAAACTGTGACTGGGTTCTTTAAATTTTTAACTTGTCCATATACAATTCCACTGGTGTTTCAAACATGGGACAAACAGAACCAGTGACTCCATCTTTCCAGGAGCAATTATGCTCACTCAAAAACACCAAAATCACACAATCAAGACAACAATTTCAAATGTACAGGACATACAAGAAATTCGACAAGAAGTGATGGTTTTCCCACACTCGACAGGAGTGTGCGCTAGGTGCTTGCATTTTATAAAATATCCCCAACCCCTTCCACAGTTGGCCAACTCTGTCTATGAGGCCAAACTGCCCAGCTAATTCTAAATACCGTGCTTTTCTTATATACTTCTTGCAAAAGAAGTTAGTACTTTGGGAGCATCTGTATATGTAAACCAGAGGTATTCTGCCCACAAACAATCAGCCTTCAGACCAGACTGCATTTCATTGCTTCAAATGGCACCTTGTACAAGCAGGTGCTCAAACTATGTGGAAAGAACAAACCAAGTAACACTCCCTCCACTAACTTTCACGGCGATTTCAGGCTCGGCAGCCAAATCTTCTGTGTTCTGATACCGTGCTGCTTGCTAGAGCACAAACCCAAAATTAGGAAGTGACTTTTCCAAACACTCGGTTACGCATCTATGCTAGACTCAAAGCTGAATCCTGAGCGTTTGACATTTTTTCTCCCTTTCCTGCTTCTTGTCACAAAAGCCAGGAGCACAGAGAGGACCGGAGCGAGCTCCCTTCTTCCCTGGAGCCGGAGAAACCCACACCCCCAGGGCTCATAGCTCCTGGACCCCTCTGGGCAAAGACACAGATCACAAAGCTCAGGAAAGCATAGTGCGCATCTCCTGCTTAAATCAGTTCTGAGAGCTCAAACTGTTTTTTTCCTGAAAAGATTACACAGCGTAAGCTCCAGGACGTTACTTAAAAATTGTCTTCTAGCTTAATAATACCTATTCCATCCATTTTATTTATATTTACCTCATAGTTTCATATAGAATGAAGAACTAGAAACCCACATTCTGCCTTTCTTGCTGTTTTGAGAGCCACTGAAACAGCTGAAAAGCACAGGTAGGGCATACCTTAGTCTAGTCTGAGGACTGTGCAAGGTATGTGAAAATTCTAACAGCACAAAGGGACTCAGCAATCCCAACACGAAGCATACTTTTCTACAATTGCTTTTACTGCGTTTCTCTTGCTTCCTGAATTTACCTTTTGGACAAAACTGTTTAAAAACCTGTATAAAACACACCACTCGCATAACCAGAAATAAAACGTTAAAGTTATTAGTTCATTTCAACTTACTTATATAATAAACCTTAAAAACAAACAAACTAGGATGTTAACAAGAAACAACAGAAATCAAATAATAAAATTATCCAAGTTTACAGCCAGAGGTAAGTTTAGAGCAGTGTAGTCTAAGGTCCCCATCATACATTCAAGGAGCAGACAGAAGGGCCACCTCCTGCAACTACGTGAGTCAAGACTCCGGGCCCATGTCTTAGTACTTGCAGACCATATGCTGCACCAGCCCACAGTTTCAGTGTTTTACGCTTCAGTTATAAGAAAAATCTCTTCTCATCTGCCTGATTAGGTTCAGAAATTTCTGGACTATGGTAGAAATACCTGGCTGAATACTGTTATTTAAAAGACAGCCTTTTTGGGTCGCCCGGCGGGGCTCAGCCTTAAGCGTCCGACTCTTGGTTTCGGCTCAGGCCGTGATCTCACGGTTCGGGAGTTCGAGCCCCACACTGGGCTCTGCACTGACAGTGACACTGACAGCAGAGCCTGCTTGGGATTCTCTCTCACTGCTTCTCCTATTCTCGCTCTCAGAATAAATTTAAAAAAATAAATAAGTAAAAATTTAAAAAGACAGTCTTTTTACATCATATGAATCCTTTAAAAACATTTTGTAACTAAAAAACAGAAATATTAAGTGAATTATTTCTGACTTTAAAATAACCCACAAATAAGATGTCAGTTGTATCTCAAAACAGGTGCTGTGCGGACCGAATTACCTACTACAATTACCTACTACAACTAAAGGACTAGAATTTTTTCTAGCCCTCCATAGATGCCAGGTGTCATACAACAGAAAGGGCACCGTGTCTAAGAAAGAACCTGGGCTGCACCCCCAAGTCTACGGCGTCAACACCTGGAGAAGTCACAGGTGGGAGCTCAGGCCCTTCGGCTGGAAAACAATAAAAACAGGCACCCTGCCTGACAGGCTGCTTTTGAACATGTGAGAAAATGAATGCAAACATACTCTGTTTCTTAAGAGTACAGGTGATTCCTGAACAACGTGGGAGTCAGGAACACTAGCCACGCTCCCTGTGCAGTTGAAAATCCACACATAACTTTTGACTCTCCAAAAATTTAGTCACTGATTAGCCTACTGTCAGCCAGAAGCTCTGCCAATAAACAATTAACACATATTTTGTATATCATGCCCTCTATTCTTACTATGAACAAAGTCAGCTAGAGAATGGAAACCGCTATTAAGAAAATCCTAAGGAAGAGAAAATACATTCACGGTACTGGGCTGTACGTATCAAAAAGATCCACATCTAAGTGGGTCTGCGCAATTCAAGCCCATGTTGTTCAAGGGTCAGCTGCACAATGCAAACGAATCGTTGTGCTCTTACTATTTTTTGGATGTACCACAGAGCTGTCTTCTGGTACACACTCGCCTAGTTTGAACACTCGGACCACACGCTCCAATTCTCAAACACGCAACTTCTCAACTTACTGCGTAAAACAAATTCTTAAGTCTTGCCATAATTCGTCTTAACTATGAATGTTATTCACATGCTATATATATTTTATGAATGTAAAGCCAGCTCAACTGTTGACAAAATTCTTCTTATAACACATACAAGGGTGTCCCCTCATCATGATGTTACTTAACTGGAGCCAGGTGCTCATTAAAACCACATACTATGGAATTAGAAATAAATAATCCAGTGTAAGAAATATATTGAAATATAAGAAATATATTGAAAGGTTCTGATCATCACTTGATATATTAAAAGGCCTAAAAAACAGGGGCAACCCAAATTCCTAAGGGCCTTTTTTTTCAGTGGTCATCACACCCTCCATCTAAGTGGGGAAAGAAACTTTACCACAACTATAGTCAGTACAAAAATTCTCCCCAAATCAAAAATCAATGTAGTGAATGCAGTTAATTCAGGAAATATGCAAAACACACACGTACATACACACACGTATGCATACCAAGAGATTTCTTGCATACCAAGAGATTTCTGCGTTTATTCTGTTATACTGTCCATTTTATAAACAACTGCTGAAATCTCTAGTCTGAATATTAAAATGACCAGTGCGGTTAATTTGCATTACATTTTTCTCTTCTCTATTTTAAGGAGTTTCATATTTATTGCAATGCCTGCGCGCTGAAGTTGTTTATAATGGCATAAAATCCGCTCTGCTTAAGTTTGGAATCTGACCTGTTTTCCTCTAACTTATATTCTTCTCCTTAACCACCTTTCTATAAAAATAAGCTCTCAGTTGCTTTATTTTAACAGACATTCTTTAAAATGAACTTTTCCCCTCCCTATTACAGAAGGAGAGAATGTGGCTATGGTTGGTTTATAAGTGTTTTTTAATCGAGTGGAAGAGAGAGAAAAAAGAAAAAGCTGACAAACTTGAACGCAAACTTCCTGACATCCTATCTCGTCAATCCAGAATCTCGCGTATGGCACGAAAAAGTGAAAACCGTCAAGCCGTTTTTGCCTATTTACCATTCTACCACACTCCCAGCAAATCACTTCTGAAACATCACGCACTTACCTGGTTAGTGAGAGGTTGCTGAATCTGGTCAGAATAAGATAAGGCAGAAACCTGTTGGTCACTTATGTTTGGCTGGCGACGGTCACTGTACTGATGTGAATGGGGCATCTGTCCAGCCATCTGAAGGCCAGCAGCATGGAATGAAAATGACGGTGCGAGCCGAACAGATGAAGGTTTGCATGCTGAAGTCTCTCCTCCTACGAGAAGACAGTAAGTGAGGTTGAAAGGATGTATTTATATCCCAGTGTCCCCATCCTTTGACCTAGCTGACAGTCCTCTCCACAAGGACCTTAGGATTTGGGAGTTTCAGTAATAGTAAAAGTTTTTAAAACCACACACTGCAAACAAATAACTATACTCAACACAACAGTTCTAGATTCAATGGGATAAAATACAGTGACTAAGGTGTCTATAAATCTGTGGTAAGAGAAAATCTTGTCTTTTCATAAACCACTAGGAGTAACAACCCTTAATACTTATTTTCACATAGGAGGTTTCCATCGAGAACTTTGAGTTAAGTAAGTAATCTTTGATTCTCTGAGAAGGGCCTCTCCAGTGGATCAGCTCCAGAGAAACTAACTCAGACGAGATCGGGCGTGTTCAGGGTGCTGTGGCTGTAGACACAGAAACCAATTCAAAGGAACGCCCCTAGGATGCCGCTTCGCACCCACCGGGTGTACGCGATCGATATTCCAGCATCCCCCAAACCAAGTGAAAGATCTGTCCTCAAGGTGCTCACCACCGACACGGGTCATTAACACCTGAGCATACAAATACACAGATACAAATTCACAGGATGCTGGGTTCCTCCAACTCTTCCGACACAGTCCCGAGAGGATCCAGACCCCGCAAGCTCCCCGCGAGTACGAACGGCCAATAATCATCCCACAGGTAAGGCTGGGACCATGGTCATGATTTTCACGGTAGAAATGGAAAATGAACACTTGGTCCATACAAGCATTGGGTAGCTGGCGAATAAAAGTTCATTCTTCCTTGAAAAGAAGACGTTTCTTCTTAAATTTAACCACACTTGTAATCTCAGACGAAAGCCAAAAGGTGAAGCGCCGAACCCTGGCCAACAAACCGAGGGCCCAGAATTCCCGTGCTGGCCTTCCTGAACAAACCAGCTAACTCCAACCAGACGACAGGCCATGTCGTTCAGCACCTGGGTACTTTTCCTCAAGTACTGTTTTTGAGAGAGACCTACAACAGCGCAGGCCCCACGGTAAAGAGCCCGGACGCTCGGCCAGGCTGCTGCACTTTGGAACCTGAGCTCCACGCTCCTCGACCGCGTGGCCTTGCACACCTCATTTCGGCAAACGTGCAAAGGCTGTGGGGACGGTGTGTGAAATACTCGGAACAGCTCTGGCGGCTCATGAACGGCCCACACCGGCCACGATGCCGCCCTGTGCCGTGCGGTAATGGCTGGTGGGAACAGCACCCGTTTGGCGGGGCGAACAGCCTCTTCCTTGACGGTCGCCTAGACTCCCCAAACCGGAGAGAGCAAAGCTCGGCGCCCTCCAAACATAAGTGCCACTTCTCTGCTCCACCAGAGCACACGGCACCGCCTTCCACCCAGTCACCCGGAACCAGAGCTCCTGCAGTCAGAGTTCTCTGCCCCCAGAGACCAGCCTCGGGCAAACAGCTGCCCAATCTGGCTGCCTCCACCTCCCGTAGAACATTCAAATACAGCCCCTCTCTTCATCTCCATGAACCCCTGTCTCACTCAGAGGACTACAACAGATCCCCACGAGTTCTTTTTTGTCTTTATTCTGCCCATTTGCAGCTCTGGATCCCTTCAGTAAAATGCTAGAGTGACTCTTCGAAGCAGCAAACCTCGAGTCCTCTCCCCATTACTGAAACTGGAACATAACCTGCCTTGGCACGGCTCTTAGACCTTAGCTTCTGTCCCCTCCGTTACAGCCTGAGGTCCTTAACTGACCCACAGGGCATGATCAATAAATAGTTGCTGAATAAGTGAAAGGACAATGCCACTATCATGATAGATGGGGTGATTTTCTAAACATTTCATAACTCATACTAAAAAAATACAGTCCATTCAGATACATGGAACAACTCTGTTCAGCTAAAAAACAAAACAAAACTGGGAATTTAGCCTAAGGATATAATCGATGACGTGCACAAAGACACGGAAGAATGTTTATCCTGGTATTGTCCGCAACCATTTAAAAAAAAAAAAAACAAAAAAACACGGAAACCTAAATGTCAAATAATGGGGGGAAAAGGAGGCTTTACATCTACATGACAAAAATACAAAAACCAAACAAACTGGGAAGGAATATAAATAAATTTAAATATATATAAATAGGATTAAGTTCTTTGATATATAAATAGCTCTTATAAACAGTAAAAACACTAAGGCACTGAAAGGCAAGTTACTTAACCACTCTAGGTCTTAGCTTCCCTATCTATGAAACAGAGTATTATTACACTAACCCTATTCCCTTAGGTTTATTATGAAGTTTTCAAAAAATAAGACACAAGAAAGCACAAATAATGGATCTTGGTACTTTACAAAATACTATCTTCTACTTCTACTACCAGTGTCATTATATACTAGGTTTAAACTCACTTATTGTAATATAGCAAAAAAAGGATAAAAATCATTAGTATAGAGCTTAAATAATTATCAATTGAACTTGTTAAAGGGGAGAGGGGAGAAACATGGGCATCATCCCAGAAACCCCCCACATCACTCTCTGACCCCTCTCAATCAATACCCAATTCTCTCTACCCCAAAGTTGCTATCTTGACCTCCAAACCCAGATTAGTTATAACTTGATATAAGTGGGTTTGTTCACGTCATGTTGTGCCTATAAGCTGCAGTCTGGTCACGATCGTTACTTCGTGGTAACCCATCTGTCCTACTTCCGACCGACACTTGGATTATTTCCAGTTCAGAGCTATTATGAACCACGTCATTAGGACGAGTCTTGTTAAGGGTCTTTTGGCACATACAGAGATGCTGTTCTGTTGCTCTTCTAATTGCTGTAGTTTCTAATTTCTGTAGTGTTTTTAATTGCTCCGTTTCTCCCCTGGAAGTTTATCAAAGTCCCTTCTGCTCTGTTCCTTCACTGACACCTGGAACCCTCAGTCTTCCTAATCTCAGCCACTGCTGGAGGTATGTGGTGGCTCTCCACCAACACATGAGCGTGTACAAATTTCCTGGTGGCTACGAGCAGCTTTTCATCTATTTAAGGCCGCTTAAAGATCCACTTAGGTTGCTTTTCCATTTTTCTATCAAGAAAGACTATTCCTGATACATTTCTAAAATTTAAAACATCCTATTTTTAACATATATTAGGTACCAGCCCTTTGTCGGTTATAAGTGGTCTGCATGGTCACTCTCTTAAGGGTGTTTTTTTGATGAGTACAATCTACTAATTTTATCAACTTTTGCTTTAGAATTCGTATTTTTGGTGTCCGTTTAAGAAATGTTCCCTTATAACCAAGTCATCAAGAAATGCTGTTATCTTCTAGCAGGTGAGTTTTCACCATTCACATCCAGATGGGCAGTGCTCTTGGATTTGATTTCTGCGCATGTGTACCGCAGGAATTCGGCTGCATGCCCCCCCCCCCCCCATAATGGACGTTCAACTGACTCAGGACCAATTATTACAAAGACAAACCTTCCCTGCTGCTCTGCAAGGCATGTGTATCATAAATCACATGCCCGTGCATGCTTGGATCCGGTTTTGGATTCTCTACGCTATTCTACTGGATACAGACCTACCTAGATTTCTTTCAACCTTGTGCCAGAACCAGCTTTACAAGTTTTAAAATCCAGTAGAGAATTCTGTACTTCCTCAGCAATGGTTTGCATTATTCGCAGTCCTCTGCATGTCCGTATATGGTTTAGAATTAGCTCCCCAAAATCACAAAACAAATAAACCTATGTTGGCATTGTGGTTGAAACTGCACACCGTCTCTCTTCAACAGTGCTGCTCGACAGAATTTCTGGCCATGATGAATTGATCGGCATCGTGTAACAGGCTGCCACAGCCACTAGCACTTCTGGACGTTTGAACGGTAGTTTTGCCTTCCCATTCCTTATTCTTCCCCCCACCTCATTCTTCTTGCCACTGTCCCTCGAACCCGGCAGGGCTCAGGGAGGGACACAGGTACTTACTTTCCTGTCTTATTCCCAATCTCAGAAAGTAAGCTTTCAACGTATCTCTAGTACTGCGGTTGATGTAGGTTTTGTTTTTCCTTGATGACCGTTAACAAATGAATCAAGTTCCTTTCTAATCATAGTTTGCTAAAACCTTTCCCTCACAAATGGATGCTAAATTTTATTAAATGCTTCTTCTGCATCCATTGAAATGACATGAGTTTTCTGATCCACTGTTAATGTGGTAAAATATACAGATTGATTTTTGAATGTTAAACCGACTATGCATTTCCTGGAACACAATTTGGTCATAATCATCCTTTTGTGATGGACTCACTGATGAAACCATCTTGACTTGGAATTTCCTTTGTGGGTAGTTTAAAAGCTAATAATTACTTGAAAGTTGTATTTCTTTAAGAGGACTATTCAAATTTTGTATTTCCTGGTATGTCTGGTAAATTGTATTTTTCTAAGAGTATGAAGAGTATGTCTCCTTCGTCTACATTTCATATGCACTGGCATCAAGTTTCATTACAGCCTCTAAGCTTTTGTATCAATGTAGGTGTAAATCTAGTGCTATCTCCTTCAACTCAGGACTGGCTAATGAGGCCATCTCCTATCTTCTGAGTTTGCTAATTTTATTAAGTATCCTCTCGTATGTGGGTTTTCTATTTCTGCTCTCGTCTTGTTCTATCAGTTAGCAAGAGAGGTGTATTAAAAATATCCTGGGGCATTTGGGTGGCTCGGTCAGGAACCGTCTGACTCTAGACTTCAGCTCAGGTCATAATCTCACGGTTCATGGGTTCGAGCCCCATGTGGGGTTCTACGCTGACAGGGCGCAGAACCTGCCTGGGATTCTCTCTCCCCCTCTCTCCGCCCTTCCCCTGCTTGTACTCTCTCTCTCAAAATAAATAAACTTAAATAAAAACCTTTTATCATCATAAACAGCCCTTCTTTATTTCCAATAATGCTTCCCTTTTTTAATATGGCCACACCACACTTTCTCATTCTTTGTGTGGTATGCCTTTTGTCCACTTTTCGCTGCCAACTTTCCATTCCCTTACA